TTCCTGGGCTGAAACTTCCGTGCGCCCTGGTGCAATCAGGACAGGCCTCCGATAAACTAAAAAATAAGCCATCTTTCCATTGATCCATTATTAGTGGAAACTACTCCTTTAACTTTATTATTTGGTAGGGTCTACTATATGAATTGGTTGGGGAGGATGGTAACAGTAATCCTACAAATGATGTTACCCTCCGGTAATTTGACACTTTGCTGCAGCAAATCGCCACTTTTGACAGGTAAATCATCTACTGTCATGGCCCATTCTCATCCATCGCCATGGTGAAACAAATGAGACTAACCATGGGTCTGGACATGTAAAATGAACTATCTTCATACAAATGCATAAACATATGCACACTGAATGAACATCTAGCGATAGCTGCTGTAGAGACATTACAATATGCCCAGGTGGCAGACTATATAAATGCTGTAGCTCATTGCGTGTCAGTTCATCAGTGGTCGGATCAGAACATAGTCAGGCACAGCAACTTGTTAAATCAACACAGGATCCAGTTTGGACAGCAGAAAACACACACAGCAGGAACCATGGTCCTCAATGGTCCTAGGATTTCCACCCATGTCAGAATCTCAACATCGACAGGTCCATCATCTGATACATATGGAAAAACCCAGCAAGCAATGCTTGGTCATGTCATCGTGTCCCAAAAATGTGTCGCCACCGTTGGCTGTTCCCCGTCCAAGTTTCACATTCCGCCATGGCCAGGTTGATTCTTTGGGCCAAGTACGGCTGCATCCCCGGTGGTTGGCTTTCAAGTTCCTTGCATCTATATGAGATACCCGGCAAACAAACATCGCAATGCAAATTTCAAAAAACTTGAGAGCAGGCGGAGGCGGACGAAAGGTAGTGTAGTGGGAGAGGAGTGGTGTCAAAATGCTGCGCCCCTAAGATGATACACCAAAAACGTTTTTGCGCAGTCTAAGATGATTTTATCCAGAGCATGACTGCATGACACTGTGTCTTGTGCTGCGTGAAATGATGCACGAAAAGGGGTTTATTTAAAACCCCTTTTTAAGACCCCTTGCAGCAACTGTTATTGAGGCTGAAGCATACCAATTATGCTGGACTACAGGGACATCTCCCTCATGGAAAGTGTGCCTCTAATGTGGGGGCCCGTGACCGCGTCACCCGTGGGAATTGAACCCATGACCATTTTATAATTGATATCCAATACATAACGGCGAGAATTCCATGAATTGCACGGGCTGGCCCCCCAATACCCCCTAAGCTTGTGCTGAAGCACGGAGAACTCAGGTAGCTGACGCTACCTTTCGTGAACAACTCGTGAAAGCCGTTTTACCATTTCCTCCACCTTGTTCGCCATATTGTACTTTAAACTTTTTCCATGCACTGGCACATTCCATGCGAGTGAGTTATAGTAAATGATCTTGAGATGAGGCTGTATAGCTTTGCAAATGCAAGGGGTGGCTAAGTAGCAGCCGACTGTCCGCAAATTCTGTGGCCCCAACATAATGTGGCAAAATGAATGCTGTAACACACCTGATTCTATAGCATGTCTTGTTCATCAACCTATTCACATTGGGTTCTAGCAATCGACCAGATTGGGTTTACACATATTTACCACATTACCACATTGATTAAACATCACTAATGTGGTAGACCCAATAAATCCAAAAATAAACCATATTAACCAACCAATTTGGGGTAATTATTACATCGTGCCAAATAGGGGCATACCGCGGCACATCCAATAATGAGCATCTACATACTGGATTTTTTTAGGTACACATCCGATAAGTTATTCATTATGTTCCCACTATTATCCTTTATCAATCCAGATTTTCTTATGTTAGTAATTACCCTACGGTATTCCATTCTTGGGTTCGCCCTAGGATAAACTAACAGTTCGATGTGGAAAATCAACCGCTTGTAGACGATATTCCTCGGGTTTCCACATGGCTTTCCCACAACTATATGTTATTTTACCCTAGGTAACACATTCTCAAACACTTTCCTGAGCTTATCGGCCGGAACCCAAGCACCACTTCCCCAAGCCACCCGCTGCACCCGCCACAGCTGCTTCGCGGAGTTACGCCTCAGTCCCGATGCCCCAATATTTTCATCAGGTTGACTATAGATTAACAGTTTAACATGCTTTTACCATCCTGAAAATGGGAATATCAAATCCATATAAGCATATATTTATATATATATAATAATTAAATATTATATATAATTATATATATATAATTAAATATACCAAGACCTTCCAAGGGGCTACGTTTTGGAACCCCTATCGAGTGTTCTTTAAGGGGCTACGTTTCGACACCCCTTAGCCGAACCAAAAAAACACAACAGGATATGGTGATAACGATGTTGATAGCACCATTTTTGGGAGACGAGCTGAACAACAAAAACTTTGATTTTGGAAAATTCCGACGCGCAAATGACACGCGACTCCCTGGTAGTGACACACTGCCGACACGCATTAAGGGGCGCCAAAATGACACCCCTTAGCCTAAAGGGGTGGCGTTTTGGCACCCCCTGCACATCCACCCGACACGCAAATGACACGTTTGACGCGCGCCATTTTTGGGGTGCCAAAAATAAAACTCAAAAGCATTGCTTCTGTGGCCTCAGATAACAAAAATGAAATGTATATCCCAGATGACCCCAAAAAAGGTTGAGAAACACCTTCGAAATAAAGGGGCGCCATTTTGACACCCCCTCCCTAAGGGGTGCCATTACGGCACCCCTTGGCATGTGCTGGTATATATATATATATAGTTATATATATATATTTATATACATATATATACCATTGTATATATACCATTATATATATATATATACACCATTGCATATATATATATATATTTGGAACAATATTAGGTGGTTGCTTTACGTTGAAGGCTACATTGACATTGCTGCTAATTTCAATATCTTTCTGCTGTTGGTGAAGCCTACCATTTTGGTGATCAATTCAAGTGTCCCTTTCTGTCCAGCCCGAATGGGTATGGCTCAAATTTGAATACTGCAAAAAATGGGATGGTTGACAATGAACACATATGGAGGTTTCCTAAAATAGGGGTACCCCCAAATCATCCATTTTGTCTTAAGATGTTCCATTATAATCCAGCTATGCTTTTTTTTATTTTATTTTAGGAAACCTCCATATTAACAATTCACCATTATTCACCATTAACCATTATTATATAATAATAATCAACAATGGTGAACCATTGTTAATATGGAACCATTACCATTGTTAACCATTCACCATTATTAACCATTATTAACCATTAACCATTATGAACCACTATGAACCACTATTAACCATCAATGCTATCCCCATTTTAATATCACCAACCCAGGAGACCCCAGGAGACCCCAGGAGACCCCAGGAGACCCCAGGAGACCCCAGGAGGTGGAGGCGGCACCATTGGAGTCACCGAAATGGGGCGCGCCTGCACTGCTTCAATGGATTTCAATAGATTTCGATGGTATTTCAATGGCAGTGGCACAAGGAGTCCAGGAATCGATTGAATCGTTGCTACCTAGAAATCATTAGAAATCCTTGTTACCCGGTCTGAAACCCACTTGTTTGGGATATTTGGTGCAAAAGGCCTCACCTTCGACAATCCAAAGAATCTAAACCTAAACCGCCTGCACTAAACCATGGCAGCAAAGGTTCACCAAGAAGTAAGGCCGGAGAAATAATTTCTATGAAAATTCACATGCCCATATGCTTCATGTATGGCATATTTACCTACATTTGGGTGATTTTGTTCGGGCAGATGTTGGTAAATATTCCAGCACCATGGAGCATCTGGGATAGATCGCCTGAATCTGTCGTCATTTTGGGATGCTTTCCCCAATCTTAGGCGTCACAACCACCCTCTTGTTGCAGCTTGGTCTCTTAGATAGGTGGTGCAAATCCCGCGACCAAGAGAATTGGCATACTGAAACTGGCCAGTAATTCAATATGTCAAATTATAAGCAAATAAGCAAATTATGTGCTTTTTTTGGGCAGGGCATGCTCGAAAAAAAAAGCCTCCACATGGAGAAAACAACTGGTGCCGAAAACTGTGCGTGAAACACATCAAATGTTTGGCTCGTTAACCGTGCCTTTTCGCTGATCTTGCATGACGTTCTCCTAACGGCGGCTCCCCTCCCCTAATCCAAGGATTTTCCGGAACGCCCGCCTCTATCGAGCGGCCCTGCGCAGGGGCGATGGGTCGTGACTTTAAACTATTCTTGCACTTTTTTCGGGTGTTTTGAGTGAACCAGCACAGGTAAGATGAAATAGAATGAAGCACACATTATACTATATATATATATATTAATAAATATGTGTATATATAATATCACATCAATGATCATTGTATATATATATATATGCATATATATTTAAATTTATAGTTGTATAATATAAATAGTATAATCATTGTCATATTAAGTCATATTTATGGTCCATGGCATCATTAAACATCCATTGCATCAATGGAACATGGCCATTTTTTCACAGAAGGCTTGGCCTCTCTCGGCAGGCCCGGCGACCTGGCCATCCTTTGCGGGGCCAGCGGAAAATCGTGGTCCTTAGGACACCAGATTCCACCTGGCCCCGCTTGCAACATGTCCCATAGGATCCATGGTGCTGGTATATATGCTAACATAAATGGGGTATATTGATGGTAAATGTTACCATATGGCATACATGGATCCTATGGGTGTTGTAAAACTGGCATAACTCCTGGCATAACTTCACTTCGTTCCCGATTTTCCAAGTGTAAGGAAGCTTCGTTTAAGATCTTTGAAGCTCTTGTCTCCTTTAGTGAAGTTATGCGCTCCCCTGCACTTACCACACCTACTGTTGAGTGAAGGGTCCGGACATATTGTAGATGTCAAAAAGGCGGTGCTGCGAGGACCACAAAACAAACTCCGGTGAATCACCAATCACTAATCTATTATATAATCTGGAATAGATCCTCAACATTGTGGGAATATCGTGGAAAAAAACACCGAAAACAACAGAGAACAACAAGGTGTATTGGATTCCCACAGCAAAAAGCATAGATGAAACGTCGCGCATATCGCAGCGGGCCCTTGCCGGCCCTCGCGGTGGGCGGCCCAGAGCCATATGGAGCTCCGCCAGAAATTTGGACACACCTGCAGAGCAGTGCAGTTTGGAAAGGACTGGAATTGGATGCAAAAATGATCCTCAAGTAATCAAACATAGCTGGGAAATTCTCCGAACTTCATCATGGTAATGGGCATTGAAATAGGAAAATCAACTAATATAGGAGATTTTGCAGCTCACCATGCTTGACTACAGGATGGGTACAGGATGGTAGAGGAACGCATGAGAGAAACATCATGAAACATCTGGGGATCGGAATCGGATGGAATCGGATCAACGAACTGGATGGACTTGCAATGACTCGTGCATTGTCAGCTCACTCTTCCCTCTTCACATTCCACAAGTCAACTGGATCAATGAATCAAGAAAAGATCATCAGAAAAGGCCCACAGGGTCGTTTCACCATAAAGCCTTCCAACTTCTTGCTGTCTATTTTGCAATCTAAGGTTTCCAACTGCGGTATGTGAGGTTTTTTTTGTGTTTACCCTACTGTACTACAGGCTCTCAGGCATTTGGATGATTGCTTGAATGGGAGCAAACTTATGAATCATTTCCTGCTTCGTTCCCGCATCCAATTCACGGCATTTTCCGAACCTGTTCCTTAAACCACCATGGGAGCCGCTTGAATCGGATTGCCCTCGTTGGTTTCAGCAGATCCAACCACCACAGCCGCCCTGAACAGCGCTACACCGAAGCAAGCTCTAGGAACAGCAAGGTAGAATTCATGATCATGTCTCAACACATTGCAATATTTATTTTTTTTTAATCTGGTTGTTACGTCTTGTTGTTGCACAGTGACAGGAGGCTGACATCACTCATTTGGTTTGAGCAACCCGATCTTTCCCAAGGCACACCACGGGCACAGTCGCACCAACCACCGCATCAGACACCACTGCTGGCAGTGTTGCACCAGTCGGAACCACTGTGAAGGAGATGCGCCTTGTTGCATAAATATACATAGATCACTTTGAGTCTTTGAGTTGTTTGAGTCAGCACGGCCGCACAAAAGTGAAATCAAATTGTCAACCTGAAATGGCCATCTCTGAAGCAAAAAACTCCGTTCCATTCCTTCGGCCAAGGGACGCTCCAAACTCCTGAGATGTTTGACTTCAGCCCCCTGCAGCCTCTCCCCACTGCTCTGAAGGGCTTGATTACTTCTACACTAGGAGACAAAGAACAAAAAAAACCGGCGTTTATGACATGCAGAAAGCCTGTCTTCTTCTGTGACAAGCCCAACAGGGGCAGCCCCTGAGATCCCCTGAGATCCCCTGAGCGATGAGCCTGGCCCCAAAGATGCGAAGGTAAAGCCAATTTTCAAGGATAAACTGGAGACTAGCAATGGCAGGAAAGACAGCAGCAAGATGCAAAAAAAAATGCCTGACACAACAACTCAAGAAGAACTGCCTGACAGTTCATGGTCAGGAGACATATACTATATATATTACATATACGGTAACTACATTTAAATATACGGATTTTTAAATATACGAACAGGTATTTTAGATTACCTCCGGGAAGGTTTTCCTTGGCCCGCCCAGCAATCAAAATATACGGAATCCGATTCATTTAAACATACTGCAACTACATTTAAATATACGAACTGGTATTTCATACTACCTCCGGGGCTGCGCGGTCTGGCCCGCCCTTCACATATTAAAATGTCGTCACTGTATAATATAATATATATATATATATAATATGTATTATATTATCTATTATTAAATATTGTCTTATATACATTATATTATTTATACTATATGCAAATCATTGCCCGGGGTGTCTGGAGACTCACCGTAAAAGTCATCTCAGAGTCAGAGTCGAATGAGTCATAAGAATCATAAGTCATAGATAAGAGAAATTAGTTACCCTCTGGTAATCAAACCGGGCTTGCTTTGTCAGACCAGCATTTACCCTCTGGTAATTTAACATAGCTATTGAAAATTGTGATTTATAGTGGATTTACCTATTAAAAATGGTGGATCTTTCCATAGTTATGTGACAGTTTACCAGAGGGTAGTTCGATGATTTGTCATGATTTGTCCATACCACATCAAAATCTCCATGTTCATGATGGATTTCCAAGCCAGTCATGTTTGAGGACACCATACGGTACAGGGGATCATGCGACATCATGGGACATCTTTGGAGCTATACTACCTGGTAAACCATGATACTTGTAATTTTAACACCAAACCTAAAATTGATCGATTTTGGGTTTGGAGTTGAAATTTCAACACCGGAGTGGAAATAACCGTTCAGGAGTTAGATATGTTCTGGAGTGGAAAAAAGCGTTCAAAAAGCGTTCAAAACCGTTCGGAAGCGTTCTGGAGTTAAAAAAAGCGTTCTGGAGTGGAAATAACCGTTCAGGAGTTCTTTTTCTCTTGAATTTGGCAAAATTGATCGATTTTGGCTTTGGTGTGGAAATTTCCACGATCATGGTTTACCAGGTAAACATCATGGTGCCAAATATTAGTGTACCCTTTGGTAGGCCAACATAGCTGTCGAAAATCCCCATTGACTTTCAGATTTACCTCTCAAAACTTCTGATTTTCGCAAACTGTCAGTTTACCGGTGAATCCATAGAAAATCCATTAAAATATCCATAAATCCATAGAAATATCCAGTGTAACCATGAAGCCACCATGGTAAATTTTCACAGTAAATCCCCTCAGTATGGAAAATCCATCCCCTCAGGGGGTCAGTCCTGAATCGCCCAGTGCGTTTGAGGGAAGTTCTGATTCCTGAGTGCACCATTCGCATCGGGGATAGGAACATATATAGGAACGCTTGGGACATCTTGGGACCGTTGATATAGGATGTGTTGTATACCATTTTTACCACGTGTTTGATATTAGGGGGATGTGATTTTTCTATCGGATAATGACATCTTATCTTCTCATTTGGGATATTTTGGGATCTTCATCAAGAGAGGCTCTCAGAGGCTCCGCATTGGCCGCGTGTCTGTTCTTTGAAGATGTCTGGATTGGTAGAAGTTGAGTCTGAAGAGCAAGGGGGGAGGGCATGGTGATTCCATGTACGGTATATCTATGTTGGCGGGACACGATGTATTCCAATGCTATTCCCATAGACATTCTGTGGTCAAGACCCATCTCCAAGGGGTCTCCAACTGGTTGCTGTACGAGTGGCGTCTGGGCGACAAAAATGTGGTAGGCATTATTACGTCTCTGTTTCATCGACCTCATGGACCTGCCACAGCGAGGTCTTTTGAAAAAGAAGTTGTGAAGCAGCTGGATGAAACATTCACATGAATGTTGCGCTGGTTGGTGGTTGACCTACCCCTCTCAAAAATGATGGAGTTCAAGTCAGTTGGGATTATGAAATTCCCTATGGAAAAATAAACATGTTCCAAACCACCAACCAGTGAACCATATACCAATGTTACATGATTTACACGCTTAGGTTACCACCTCATGATGTAACATAGCCATAAATTACAGCTGTTCCAAATTGCCAAGTTCTATCTTTTTGCCGTTCAAAACGGTGATGTTCAGAGATGTGAAATTTCCAGAAAGTACACGATTAGGTTACTACGGTGGATGGAGGAAATTCCGCACCAGTAAATAGGTGATTTATCCCATTATTTATAGGCTTTCAACATCTTTCAACCATCCTTTTGGTGATGCAGGATTTCGAAACCATCCAGAGTATGTTTCAAATCATCTGCGTCCTGCCGTTTGTTTTTTCCCATCCACCTGGTGAATGTTGAGAACGTAGAGATCCCAATGAACAAAGAGAAGACCGCCGTGAAAATCAAACCCATCATCGACTGGTTCTCACCCTGCAATTCGCTTCTCGGATGGTGCGCTTGGAAGTGGTGGATGTAACTGGGCTTAGTTCACCCATTGATTTCTGTTCAATGGGGTCTGTCATGGAGCGCATGCCTCTTGCTAATTGTTCATTTACAGGATTGCAGCAATGTATCACGTATCACAGCATCATTAATTGTCATATGCAGTCATGTCTAGTTCGTGGTTTTAAGTTTTAACCAATCAAAAACCAACACGACGACGACGACGACCACCACCACCACCACCACAACAACAACCACCAACAACAACAACAACAACAACGACAACGACAACGACAACAACAACAACAACACGCATGTGATATCAAGCAATCATCCCATTTCTGGGTTTTGTTGTTCAAAACGATCAATATTTGAAACCCTCAATCACATTATCCAACAGCAAATGCCTTAAAACTACTTGTTCTGCAATGCTAGTAATTAAAGCAATAGCAAACCAGCCCCAATTTTACCATAAACGGGTAGGAATTCAACCATCAAAACATTGTTGTTTTATTATATATTGCATGATCAATGGAAACTCTCCCAGTTATAGTTCATATAAAGTATATATATATATATTATTAGAGAGAGAGAGAGAGAGACTTCATTTTCCCAGCTATAAACTTCATTTATAGTTGGTTTTCTCACAAAATCACCATGAAATCACCATGAAGAATCGACCATGGCAAGGCGTCAAGGCCATGGTGTCCTGAGAGGACTGGACCAACGTGATGCCCCAAGTGACCGAGATTGCGATGAGTGGGACTCCGACGAGGGCCGCCCTGCCAGATTCGCGGGGGCACCATGGGAAGTTGTGGAGTTGCAACTGGATTTCATGGGATTTTTTCGGGGATCCATAGGGCTGTTCTTTAATGGATAATGGACCATAATGGGATCCATAGGGCTGAATGAATTTTACATAATTCACCTGAACATATAGCTGAAACTAGCCATTTCAGAAGGCTTGCCCGCAACTATAACCATCAGTCCAGCGACGTCAGCTCCAAGGTACAGGGTGACTTTGCTGACAGCTGTGGAGGCCAGCGTTTGATCAAAATAGCTCTTGATGGCCTGTGCGACAAAATCTTGGGAAACAACGGGGCAACATTGACAACATCGGAAAACCTGGACATAAAGGGCTAAATAAAACATGCTACTTGATGAAGACAATGGTGCAATTTGGCAACCCAAGCTTCTTTATTGGGCGGTTTATTTCTGTTTAAGGCCTGAACATTTGGCTCTAAAGATTGCAGCACCGCTGCGAAGAATTCGGTAACTTCCTGCAACATCTGCCAGGTCCCAATTTTGCCGATCAACTCCTGGAGAGGGATCCTATCAGCTACCGCTCCTCTTTGTTGTTAGTGGTTTGCCAAGATGCAGCGCCTGGTACTCTTGAGAAGAGAGAACCCCTTGAAGGCCCGCTGGCATATTTGAGGACAATGTAGGAGGTATCCTGGGTCAACTTGGGCGAGGTCAGTTCAATGGCGGCCCAGTAGCTATGCAGCACAGCTATGCAGCTACGTTAGGTGGCCTCCCCGAGATAGCTCAGTTGATTTATGATTTATGACTTGGTCAACTAGCTGAATCCATCCGAATCCCTTGGTTATCTTGGTGTCTGGTAGATATAGAGTCTAAAAAAGGGATACACATTTATTAATCGCTATTTTAACATAGTTAAAAAAATGAAATATGCTGAAAAATGCTGATATGTTCAACTAATTATGACATTTGGGGCCCATTTTGGTGCCCTATTTTGCGCCGCCGGTCCAGCGAGGTGCCAGAAGGGCCAAGGCCCTTGGTTTTCGACTTCGACGGTCGAAGCCATGAGTCGAACACGTCGCCGTCAGCGTCAGGTGACGTGTTACCAGTCGTAAATGGTAGTAGGGTTTTAATTCCGTGGGGCTGCAACTGACGAATTGTTAAGGGGCCATGACCTCAAACGAAGAAGATTATATAAAGGCCCCAGGACTCGCCAATGACTGTTCTATACTGTTCTTCCACATGTAAAATCATGTAAAAACTCATTTCGGAATGTCTGTGCTCCCTTCTCCAGCTCGCGTCGTGGACCGTGATTTCTGATGTTTGATCCTCGTGTCTGCAAGGGGGACCAGCTGAGGCTATGGCCAGCATGAATCAGCATGATGGAATCGATGGTGCTGAAGTATTGATCTCCATCTTGTTTAAAAGCCATTATGAGCATATTTCTATCCCAAGCAGCTCTGCAGCTCCACAAAATCTCATGAGAATATGAGTATCGAATCTGATCATTCTGATCTGATATCTTGATACAATCCAGTTATATATGCGTGGTAGTCCCCATAATTAACTTACGGGGGCATGACCATGTTTGGTGATATTACATCCCCCTGCTGGGATGACGACTCAAGTCACCTTGCATAGAAATCCGCCATGGCCCCGAAGATATTTTTACGGTAGATTTATTTAGTTAGTGAATGTTGGCGACAGTGCTAGTGGAGGTTTGAGCTAGATTTTTTTGTGAACTGGGAGCAGGCCCCATCCTTGTACCTGGGCTTACCATCTATGGCATAGCATGGCCGCAATTTTTCGGGCACTGATGCAGCTCGAATCGATTCATGTACATAACTTGCCAAGGTTTGCATTCATCTGCCTGGTTTGTTGAATAAATGATACCAATGGAAAAATCATTCAATTTTTGGGGTAAATAATTTCTGAGGCGCACATAGATATCATAGATCATAAACTTTGACACAGGAGCATCAACAGCTCAGTTTATATGAAAGGGTGGAGAAGTGGAGAAGGCAAGTTTTACATAGTTTTACCCCACTCCAGAGAAAAAAAGAAAAGGAGGTGTAGTTGCCTGGCAGTGTGATGCGCGGCACTGCCTCTTCCAAGTTAAACACCAGCCATCGGTGAAAGATCCCACGAGATGCAAATTGGGGCCGACCTAAAATGCGTCGTCGGAAAATACTGCGGCCGGCGCTGCATGGGCCTCCGCCAGTTTTATTTTTCGTTGCAGTTGGTCATCCCAATTCACTCCAGCTAAGTAGATAAGTTGGTCCACGACTCTTCCCGAAATTGGTTTCAATATGTTGAAACATTTACGAGAAGTCTTTCCATGGTGCGAACTGCAAAAAAGTCCCATGATTGCGGAGATGGTGCACCACTCGACAAGAACAATTTGTGCTTCCTGGAAGCATCAAGCAGTGGTGGGTGATTTCAAACTATGCGAAACTTATCATCCGGACAGGGGGTGAGGAAGAGAAACAGTTGAATCACCAGCCAAGAACATCCATGGCTGACAGGCCCAAACTTACCACAAGGTGCTGGAATAGGTTTTGCACACCAAGAGGTTTTCACATAAAAACCAACAAATATACACATATCTGGTTTCAATCATCTCGCAAACCTGCCTTTACGTAAGATTCAGAGATGTGCAATCTTGCCACCAGGGAACGCCTTGCATGAGATAAGCATTTTGGGCACATGGGTACCCTACTCACTACTCTCGGCAAGAGTATGGCATGCGTTCAAAATTGGGGTGCCATCAAGCATGATGATTAAGTGACACTGTGCATCTCTCCCAATTTTCGTTGCCAACCCCGAATCGCGAAACATTTTTTCTGCATGGCCAGATCTTCTCACAAGCAGGCACCACTTCAGCCATCATCGCCGTCATCGCCCCTCTCATTCCATTCTTTGGGAACAAAGAGGGTCTCATTTGGCAAGGCCAACCAGTCCTCTCGCGATACAATCGCCCAGCTGTTGGACGGTGCCCAAACGCCAAGCGCCAAGCAGGATATCAATGCACTAGCTCAAATGTGTTGCCAACAGTTGACTTTCAAACCATGGATAAAAACCAAAGTAAGCTGATTGTCCGTCCAAATCAAGAAATCATGGCAAAACGTGGGTGCCCTGGAGATAAGATGAGATAAGTTGATGCTTGGGTATAAAATATTTGCACAGTAGAAGAAAACGTTGCTTCTTTCCGGCTGCCTATACCTAGCCACGATATTCCAAATTTCAAGTTAATAGCTATAGCAGCATGATCCTATTCTGTGAGTCTTGGCAGGGTTTCTAACGAAAACCAGAGCAAACTGAGATGGTTTCAACCCACCAACACATGGGAGTTGCACAAAAAGTGGATGTTCAGTCAGATTAAGAATGAAGCATTTGGATGCATTTGGAATGGATGGCTATGGGTTAACATGGGTTAACAAAATGTTTACGTAATGACAATCAGTGGTAATCCTGGACATGACTCCAAAACATCCGTAGCCCCAAAGGCCGTTTTTTGTTTTAACATTATTGTGACCCATACTATGACTACCCCAAAATCATCATTTCATCTGGTTGGTGGTTGGCCTACCCCTCTGAAAAATCTTAGTCGGTTGGGATGATTATTCCCAATATATGGGAAAATACATGTTCCAAACCACCAACCAGTCATGAAACATCTGAATCATCTGAACCCTGAGCCTTACCCTAGGACCCCCAGGAGCTCGGCTCCTCATAACCTTGCCATTCAGCAGCATAGTAGACCGAGGGAAGCGCCGGTAGGCGCAGGCTACGTAAACCTGAAGGTGGTTGCGAAGTCCCCGAATAGTGGGGTTAACCCATATTTAAACATACGAATATGGGTCAGAGCTGGGTACCCCAACAATTGGATGGTTAGTAGTAAAAGTAGACATATCTACAATGTGGGGCCCCCTAGTTATAAGCTGGTTTAGAGCACGATTTTTTGCACGAGGGAAAGCACCGAAAAGCACGATTTTGTGCACGAAGGAAAACACTCAAAACAACGTTCGCCCAAAATATAAAGAAATCATTTTTGTTGACTGTTGCAGCTATTAGGACGGACTCAAGGTATAGGTATCATAAACCATAGTTATTGAAGTTATCTGCACCATCTTAGCGATTTCGTTTACGGGGCCACCAGTTACGAAAATGTCGGACCGTCAGATGATCCTCCCCCTGGCCCCTTTTGTCGCCAAGGCACGGACGGCGTCAGCCTCCACGAAGCTATACCAATCTTCTTGGCTCTGCAAGCCCAACATCCGGGAAACGAGACGGGCCTGACACCGGTGATGTGGGCTGAAGCAATAGCTTTCCGGGAGATGAATTTGTTGTATGGGATTCATCATCCATCGCAACAGATTTCTGGTTGAAAGCACCAGTTGAAACCTGGTTGAGTTCCTTGAGAGCACCACTTCCACGCCTACTTCTCTGCTTTCGTTGTATGAGTCGCTGTCCCTAGCAGCCCTAGCACTAAGGTGCACCCTTGGGTGATCGCTACATACTGAACAATAGTGCTGGAAGTGCTGGAAGTGCTGGAAGTTGATGGTGGCCTTTTGTGCCCATGTACAAACAACCACACATACCCATACTCCACTTACCCAACAATAAAACATAACAACCACGCATGAGGAGGTATTACAAACCACAAGCATCATAACCGCCCCAAAAAACTAGTTATTATAGCAACCTAAGTATATCATCCATACCATCCTGGAAACACTGTTGTATCTTTTTTGTGGGTTACTACAATTTATCAAAAAAAAGAAACATGATGAAACCATAAAAGTTGCTTTAAACAAATGCTATATCATTCAGCCACCACGAAAAAAAAGAAACAATTTCTGGCATCCACTCCCCGACATTCCACTCCCCGCGCCTCCTTGAAGTCCAAGATAATCCCTAGGAAGTCGTCCCAACCCTCCCATTCCTCCGCGTACATTGCCTCGGAGTCATTCCACGCAGAGCAGCTGCAGCTTGGCTCGGGGCCGCTTTGGAACTGCCTAAAATAGGTGATGGTTAAGTATGTTCCCATAATCCCATATATTAAGTGATGGTTCCAAACATTTTTTCAGGATACAGTATCCCATATATTTGATGATAAATATCAAGTGATGGGGATCAGTCCCATCACTAACCCTCCGGTAAACATGGCATGCTGGAGAAGGACTCCCAGATGCCTGTAGGATGCATCGCGAGCTGTGGTTTCAACGCGTTTTAAACACTAGGGATAGCCAGGTAGGACTAATAAACGTTAAACAATATTTCAAAAGACCAGCGTTATGGATCGCACCACTCTTGAACACGCCCATGAAACTTCATCAACATAAGTGGAATTAGCATGAATTAGCAATTTCAGAGATCCCGTTCTTCAATTTTGCAGGGCCGTAGTGAATATGTCAAAAACCCGCAGCCACTAGTAGCCAATCTATCAATCCAAGCAGCTTCAGGATCATTTGGCACATAGGGTCCCAAGAAAGGTGACTTTTTGCCATCGGCCACCCAATCATCCCATTCATTACCTTGGCACCGCCATGCTGGAGCCGTTCTGAGCACGAATCCTCCGAAGTCCAACGTATTTAGATGTATCCTTTTGTCGTGAGTTTCCATCTGGAATCCCTGGGCCACTAGCTAGAACTGTGTTTGTTTACAAAAAAGGTTCCATGAAAAACACCGTATCTCGGATTTCAGCTTATGCCTCACTGACGTCAAACGATTCAAATTGTGACAACGGCTGCCATCCTCCAAAGAGTGACCGAACACAAGAAGGCTACCATTTTCGTTGTTACAAGTCACACTTTCTCAAGGCCACTGGATCACTGGAAAACCATCTGCAAGTGGGGCGCAACGATTCTGGAAAGATAGTCATGCTTCTTTCATAATCACTGGGATATGTTTCTGGCATGCAACCAAATGAAAGTTGAAGCCATCGGGTTGTGGGTTTGTTGTGGCCTTAACAAAAATAAATCTTTTAGAAGACCCAATGTCGGAAACCTCCCACTTGAGATTGGTCATGTGGATTACGCGCTGTTCTGCGTCCTTGGTCGTTTCAGTCCAGCAGACTATTGTCGGGTAAATTGCAAAATCGCCTAAACTTAGACAAAAAGGCACGCTTTTCTGGCAACTTACTATTTGGTTTTTCCAATACCACATATAAACTGGGGAAACCATGCAAATTGGGCATAAGATTCTACATTGCAAAATATAATGCAGCAACCCCCCAACCTCCTGAAGGACAAACAAGCAAAATCCTTCTCAAAGAATGGTAAGTTGAACCTGGCCTTAATCTTTTTGGGGTATATTCCAGCATCAGTCTATGGAACCTATCTGATATAGCCCAGTAACCTGTTCTTAGCCCATCTCAGCCCGTAGCCACTTTCGAGATGCTTGGATTTTGGTAAACCTATTGCCATACAAATTGGGGCTAATATGGGCTAATCCCCGCACACACACACAGACACACACACACACATACACACACGCACACGTACATAAGTTGTTTGCATATGCATATGTATATGTATATATATATTCGTATAAATATATATAAACATATATATATAAATATACATATGCATATTGATTGTTATATATATATAGATAGATAATGATAGATACATTCCAGAACATACCCGTTATATACCCGTCAAATCATCCTCCAGTGACCATTCGCTATTGTTAAGTCCCAATTTTGGCCTTGCTAACTGTTGTCTTTTTCAACAAAACCAACCGATTAAACACATGGTCACCTCAATTCTATACTCGAAACCAACAACAAAAGCAAAATATTGGCTTTACCCAACCCAACCAACGACGACGACGACGACGACAACAACAACAACAACAGCAACAACAACAACAACAGGACCAAGCTACGGCAGCCGAAACCAATGGCTTGCACACAGCGGCGTGCCTCGGCTGGGATCCACCACAAAAACACAACGCGCAAGAAAAAATGCAACATCCATCGTGTCAAAATGTCATCATGTCATATATTGGTAATGTTCCACTAGTCATATGCCAACCATATCCCAGAAAAAGGAGATAATGGCATCCAGTATCCCCACTTATCCTCTGGCAATTTAACAGTTTGCTGTTGAAAATGGCAATTGAAATAGTTGATATACCCATTAAAAATTGCATTTTTCCATAGTTATGTTTGTTTACCAAAGGGTACAACGTCTTGGATTTTGACCAACCATATGTTTACCATCCATGCTTCCTTGTAAAAACAAAGAACATGTCAACTCCTCTGGTAAAGAAGAATTGCCAAAAGAACATAGTGGTTTTGTTGTGGCTGTTCTCTTGAAAATGGCATCTCGAAAACAAACCAAGCATGTTTCAGGCATGAAGAGGCCCTTTCTGCGGCACACTACCAGTGTAGCAACTCTTGTTGCAACCCTACGGGCCCACAAGACTAGACCCACAACGACCATCAGGGTCGTAACACTTGTGTACAGTAACCTTATATCTATACTGGCTGGTGGTTGACCTAACCCTCTGAAAAATATGAGTTCGTCAGTTGGGATGATGAAATTCCCAACAAATGGAAAAATAAAACATGTTCCAAACCACCAACCTTATATCTATATACTGTGATTTCTCTGGGCTGAAAGCATAGTTCCCTAGCAACAAACCTAGAATGAACGAAGTTTTTTGTGTCCAATTCACTTGCCAAATCCCTCCACAAACGCCTCATCAAAGGGCAGCACGCGGCGATATCTCTTCCGCCAATTGGGTCGTTTGGCATAACCTGCTGATGCCAAGCTGTTGGACTCTGCATGAAACCTCTGGGTATCAATCTATTTTACCAATACTTATACCAATCCAAAGTTTAGCAAGATTCTGGGGTACACATGAAAAATCGTTGGAAGTCTGTCCTGCAATAATTATTCATCAAAAATTGACGGTACTAACCTTGGATAACTCGACAAATTTTCAGTTCAGCTATTAGAGCTGTGGGAAATAATCTCAAACAAAAAAAGACACCCATATACACAGCAATCCACAAAACAAATAGAACATAACAAAACCACATACTAAACTGTGCAAATATGCATTTAATATGTTATATAATATACATTATTATACTATGAACATACCCTCCAAGAACAAAGTACAGTAAATTACACCCATTTTCCATAAGAGTGCTACTGGCTCTGCTTCAAGCAATACCAGTTGTACTTCAAATGGTCGATATCTCATCCATCTCAGCAGTTTCTATTTGGAGGTTACTGCGCCCATCCCATGGAAAAAGAACACCTCCATTCTATGGTTCCAAAATGTTCCAAATACCCTCTGGTAAACTAACATAGCTATTGAAAATGGTGATTTATAGTGGATTTTCCCATTAAAAATGGTGATTTTCCATTGCTGTGTTAGTTCACCAGAGGGTATGTGTAGTGAATCCCCTCCACCACGCTTTCTGGGGAGCTCTAAACAGAGGGGTTTTTTGGGCCCCTTTTTGGGCCCCCATAATCCATGCCGCACCCTGAGGCCAGAACTAGCATCATCAGAGTCCTGGACATGTCGATGTTGGTGGAAACGCCACCAAATTTTTGTGAACATCTGCTGCAATGTGAGGCCCCCGTTCGATAGCTAAATTGGTTTATAACTCCAATAACTATGGTTTATGGTTAACTATAGTTACTGGGCTTTTGTTAACCAACAAACATAACTGGGGGGCCTCACATTGTGGGGATCTGCTTGAGATATACGAACTAATCATTGATGATTTACCCGGGAAACTGAGAGGGTCGAGTCAAAATTCCAGGCCATGGGGTTCGCAACCAACCTTTGAAAAATGATGGGCTTTCATAGCCAGACATCGGATGATTGTTTAGCAACTTACCAATTCTTGTGGTTTGCAGGGTTTACTAACTTTCCCATTTCAAGATTGAAAAAAAAAACAATCATATCCCAATCGTCTAATGAACAATCATGGGGCCACTGGGGCCACTGATCTTTTCCACCAAAAACGACTTCCTTTCCTATCGTTGCCTATCTTTAAAACTTTAATGTGGGTAAAACAATGCCATGCAAACCATCCCCCAGTCATCACAATTTTTATAGGTGGTATAAACCAATCAAAACAATCTGGTTTATTAACCCTAAAGATTGACCCATATTAACCCTAATTTGTGGTTTATAAACCAATCATTGTTTTACCCACAACCCTAAAGATTATTGAGGTCACGGCGGTTTTGTTTGTTGTCTGTGAGGTCATGGCCCTGCACATTCGGCTGACTCCATAGGAACTTATTTAGGCACATCCGCATCAACATTCACATATTTCATATATCATATATCATATATCATATATTATGTGCCTTATATCAACATAAATATATATATATATATGTGTGTGTGTGTACTTAATTACTTATTAACTTAACATATATTATATCCATACTTAAAATATAGAGTGTGCATGGAAACGGCTTACATCTCAGATCACAAAACATGTTTAACCATTTCAATTTTCTAGGATCTCAACATATCTGAAACCAAACCATTCTTGGGTATTGAATGACCTGATCCATACCAAATTCATGTTCGAACTGATGGCTCTGTGCAAGAGGACCCCCTAGTACAGACCCATGCCGGCAGCCATGAGCTGTAAATGGTGCATAACACATGTTATCCGTTGAAATATAAGTGCTGTGCTTCTGCCCATCTCAACACTTTCAGACTTTCAGGGCTCCGGGATCCAGTTGTGCTGTCCAGCGCGCTGATGTTTTTCTCTCTTGGCTCGCACAGTCGCCTGCGGCTTCAACTAGATCCACTTGGACGTTGCGGTCGTCCCTCAGTATGCGGCCACCATCGATGGACTGCGATCTGCTCGGAAGAAGGGGTTCTTCACCTTGGCTACGTGACGGCTACGAAAACCTGAAGGCTTGTTGGTTTCAGTTCAAAGGATCAAAGGGAAAAATGCAAAAAAAGTCTGGGTTGAAAATCTGACTGGCCATGCAGTTATGGCATGTTTCGGTGTTTTGGGAGCGCCCAATGTTTGCCCAGCCACTGGGTTCGGATTCTTCATAGGACCAGGTGGATCAGGGGATGGCGTGCGCTCCTTCTTGTTCTTAATCATGCTAGGTCCTGCACCCAAGCACATGGACACCACCTGGGTCACTTCAACAACTGCAACAAATATGTGTTTTTTTAAATGAATGGATGATAATCCGGATTATTGTCTGGATTATCCCGCAACTCACCATCTAACAGTCACCTTTCCACTTTGACCCAGTAGATACAACTTCACATTTTGGGGCCCACCTTCCAAGCTTCAAATATGTGGGAAGGTGGGGGTATAACCTAAGTGATTCTTGTAGAAATGATTGGGATCAAGATAGGCATAGCCGCATAGCAGCAGCTCAGGGTCAAGAGTCTACATAAACATGAAAGAATCTTAGGGGCACAAATAGTTAAAACTGTGAACAATGAGATGTTGCATTGCATGTTACCGTGTGTGTGGTTGGATCAAAACAATTTCTGCTTGGGTAAATAACTAGTCTTGTGGGCAAAAACATGTTTATATTCCACGCATTGGACAGCTCAAAATTGAGGAGGAAAACCGGTACACAGCCCCTATGGTCAATTAGCCTGAGCTTGTAGACTCCGTCTGACAGCTAGTGTTTCTTATTTTGTCTTTCTCAGAAACAGCTTTGCTTTTGAAAACACCGGCATTTTGGAGAAGGGTTGGACATGGCAACGGTAAGAAGCACTCGTGCTCCGTCCTACAAGGTGGACCTCCCGTTACATATAAAGCAACATAGCTATCTTTTGGGGGTCCATCTTCTTTGGTAATAAATGGTGGGATGTTACATCTTACGGTTGTGAGTGTGGGGGTACGATAAACTAGTGGTTTCTATACTGTTTATATTTTGTTGTGAAGTGGCTTACTATAGTGGTTCTCATTGTTTGCGCCTTAAAGAACATAGAACAAAATCCAATATATTCCAATATTGGATTAGATTAAAGTGACAATTTAGAGGAAAACTATGGAAAACACATCTTTGAATATCTTTGATGATCAAAACATATCAAAACCATGGCTTCTGAGGCATGTTTTCCCAGAAATCTATCCACCGGCCATCCCTGGTCCCACCATGTCCCACCGCGCCTCCCGAGAACTCGCTGGCGCGTTCGTCCCAGCGCCGGTCACGGGCATAGGAGCGACTGCGAGAGCGACGGCCTGGTTTATGTCAAGAATCCGTGGGAAAATCCATCGATTTTATGGATGATTTAGCGGTACCACCATGAATTGGAAATCTACGTATAATATCTGAATATACCGTGTATTACATATGTAGAATATATATATATATGTGTGTATATATATATTATATTAATGTGTATATGTATATATATATAATATGTATATATGTATGTATATATATATGTGTATATATAAATATACAGTGAGAAAATAATGATGGAAATATAGATAGTGGGAATATTTTATATTTTTTATGGGGATTTCTAACTGACAATCAAGAACATGGCAAAGACATGGTGGTTTATTGGGATGATATAGGATAACAATGGGGATGTGTCTCTTCTGAGAAATCACCTAGGGTCCACGTTTTTCCTGATGGATCAAGATGACCAAGAGCCTAGGATAAGACGCAAAAAAACAAGCATTATCAAGCCAATTGGTCCCAAAGGGAGTTGCAGTGATCAAGCAAATTACTGCAACTCATGAAATAATTGCACAACAGAATGGAATGTAAGTAACTGGGGATCTAGTGACCTATATTGACCTATCTTATCTAATGAATCTGAAGAATTCACATCACTTGGTGGATTCAATGTGTGTGCCAAGCGTGACCTGTCCCTCTTTGGACACAGTGCCCAAATGTTGAGGAACTTAGGATGAGCCGTTCAGTCCTGGGTGTTCCAATAAAAAAATTGCGGGTCTGGGGTAGAGACCCCACCACCAACCAGAAGTTTCTTGATCCTACCTCTGGTAAACTGTCACATAACTATGGAAAATCACCATTTTCAATGGGTAAATCAACTATAAATGACCATTTTCAACAGCCCTCCCAGTCCCATGCTGCACCTCCCATCTCTCGTACCAGGCGTCGCGGGCTGGGGCTCTTGGGGTCATTGCGCGATGGGAAGTTGGCACGGGGCGCCTCACCTAGCGGCGTTGTGATGCTGTCAACTATGGGGGGGTTTAAAGGCCCGCAGAAAATCAGGCTGATGTTACTTTAAAATGCGCACATATATTTATATATATATAGTATTTACGAAACAACTACATTGATCAAGCATGTTCGATGACACATTTCTATAGGCTGCCAAGCCCACCGTTTCTTTTTTTATAGCCTATATAGTTGGTTTGAAAATGGAACGAATGGTCTTGAACCTGACGTTTGACCTTGTCTAATTTGGGTAAAATATGGGATGCACCACGGTATGACTTCTGGATTTTCCATTTCAAGAATACGTTACAATCACCACGGTTTGTTTGAGAATTGATATCCCAATATGTATTATCTCTCTCTATCTCTCTCCAAACATGGATTGGGTGAACCCAATTTACCCAAGTTTTTGTTGCTTTATGTTGCTTGTATTGTATACCAGTTTGGTTGGATAAAATGCCACATGTTCATTGACAAAATGAAAGATCTTGCAATTCATGCCAATGAACGGCAAAAATAAACGCACACAACTTACCAAATACATCAGAATGTGGAAAACCCAATGCCATAATAACTTTTGATGTGTGGGGATGGTTGATAGCACCCATGGCAAAGTCTTGGGATGGTTACATTGGAATCCCAGCCGGTGGACCTGGTGGACTCCTTTTCCTTCGTTCCCGCGGTGGGCTGCGCTGCGCAAAGCGTCGCGATCCGCCGCCGTCGGGCGAACGGCCGCGGCCCATGGGGCTCCGCGCCCGGTTCCGGCCGTAGAGCCGGGGCGGGCTGCGGCTGCGGGGGCGCCGTGGAGGGCCCCCGCCACCGGAGTTGGAGATGGCCAAGGGACCGTCGTTACCTGGGCAGAGGTGACGGTCAGTTGCTGGACTCCTTACCGTATTGTTATTTTTATACGTGTTCATATGTGTTCATACTGCAAATATAATGTAAATACTTGGCTTGGTTTGGTTTGGTTTGATGATGTTTAATGCTAAAGAATATCCCTAATTAAGGATGGACCTCATATGCAACATTTAGCCCCAAACAATATACACACAAGTAACTATATTCCTTACACGAAGTGTATGGGGACCGTCAATACAGTCCAAAAAAAGACCTATTGTAAGCTCAATAGAACATGTTGTAATAAGTTATCTTTTGAATCACTCAATCAGTTTCTCCCTCATGCATGTACAGCCAAGCGATGGGGCTCACATTTTGTGGCTGCAGCGGTTGTTATACTGGGATGAGGCCCGAGGTTCAGTTCAGAAAAAACACCCGGACACGCCACCGAACAGAATGGGAGTCGATCTTTGTCTTCATCAACTATCCTCCATCGCCTAAAGTTCCTAAAACCCCGTAGGATAGTGCGGGATGCAAATCGTTGACCGGTTTACTGAGCATGGACCCGAACTTTTGGACTCTTGAACATATATCAGCCAAATCACGCTCACATGTAGCTGCTGGTAATGTCAAGTCAAAAACCTTGAAACTGAGGCTTAATGCGGTTTAATTTAAATTGACATATTGACATCAAAAAGACCTCAACTTAAATTATCCATGTTTGTTGATGAAAAATCTCCGTTTCTTGACCTCTCAGTCTTTCATAGTTGTCTTCCAATTTCCTGGTCGGTTCCTTTTCTCTGTGGCCGTGTTTATCTTTTTTGCGTTGGGTACCCTCTGGTAAACTGTCACATAACGAACTGGAAAATCACCATGTTCAATGGGTAAATCCACTATTTTTATGACCATTTTCCATAGCTTTTGGTATGTTTACCAGGCCGGGTCTATGCTCGATGCTCAATGCCCTTCCAGGGTTGTCTTTTCTTCGGATCCTGAAATCCCCAAAGATGCTATGAAAGTGACCATGTGGGGAGGGGGAAAACCCATATCATCAACCATTTGTTGTCATTGTCCCCATATCATCAACCATTTTCTGACACACTATTAAAATATATTAAAATGTCATAATTCTTGACGCTTGCTGAACATCGCCATGAATTTTCGCCATTCACATCCCTCTTGTATCACCATAAGACCATTCTTTGTTGGTCTTAAACCACAACGTTTCGCCATTTATTTTATCCCATTCCCATCCCCACTATGGTGGACTATGAATTTCCCATGATTCACAGGCCCATTTCCCACTAAAATTACCCTCTGGTTTCATCAACCATGGCTTGCCGAAAACCACCCCATGTATAGTTCGAGGACTTTCCAGCGGCCCGGCATGTTTGATGACCAAACGCTAATTCAATTTTCACCACCATTGTTAACCATGGAAAATCACCATTAGTAACCGTAACCTTCAATCGCCATTAATGGAACCATCATCCATCGTTATAACCAGCACAAAAATACCATCCCTTCACCATCAACCATGATAGATATCCCATTAAGCATCATCCCATTAGGGGAGATGATATATTCTTGAATTACCATCTGGTTATTTAACATAGCCATGGAAAATCCCTTATAAATGGAGGTATGTAGCTGGGAAAATCCTCTATTTCTATGGGCCATGGCTTCCATGGCGAACTGCTAAATTACCAGAGGGATCCAGAGGGTAAGGCATCGAAAATTCCTCCATCTTTCACATCGTCACATCGGCGCCGAGGTACCTCCCTTGCCACCTGCCGGCCCCACGCCCACGGGAAAGCCATCCACGAAGACCTGACCCGCCTTCAAGGCCGCATAGGCGCGGTCGGCGGCTTCCTGCGTACCGAAACGGACGTTCACGAAATCCTCACCTGCCGAAGAGATGGGAGTTGGGATGGGAGTCGAGTCGTTCACCCTGCAAAACTGGTGGTTTCAAAACGATGGAAAATGAGGAGTTCACCCTAAGCGATGGAACCTGTGGATCTTTGTAACCTGCAAAAATGACGGACAAATGGTGAAACCAATGGTGAAACCAAGGGTGAAACCATATGAAACCAACAAACATCGGGAATTTTAGATGTGATTTATGCTAGCAACGTTGGTTTATAACCCCAAGAGCTGCTGAGTTTATGGACCAGAAGAGAACAACATATGAGTTGCACCAGGAAAAATGAGGGACATATCATGGCAGGACGTGATATAACTTGGATTTAACAGAGTGGACATGCATGAGAAAAAAGTATATCACAACCAAGTGCCACGCACATGTGCGCTTATATACATATACATGGGCAGTGCAAATGAAAGTTGTTTCAATCCCGAGCCCCTATGAACCCTCAATGTTAGGATCCCCAAATGAACTCGACACAGCCTTGCTTTGAAATAGAAGGGGGAAGAGATCAGGCTGGCCGAGGTGTCCAGGAATCAGTTGTGCATGTGTGGAATTCCAAATGGGGATGTTGGAAGAACTGCACGTAGCTATGAAGAATGGAAGGCTCAGAGACTTCAGGAACCCTCCAGTACTCAAACATGGCTGGAAAACCCTCAAACATCCCCAAACTAAATGGATCATGTGGGATTGTCCATTGCTATATTTGATTACTAGAGGTATGTAGAGCCTGCCTGAAATCTCCTGAAATGGCCGCTGATGCTATTGAGACGTCTTTTCCATGGTGAATTTTAAGTGCAAAATGATGTCCTCCAAGCTTGTGGAGAAGCTTGGGCGTCAACAAAACTCAGAGCTATGGCTACGGAAACCCATGGGTTTCCCTTAAAAATCACCCAACAAATGATAGGTTTTCCACAAATACATGCATAAATATATATATATATATGACTGTGTGACTGGATGTGCATTTTTTCTAACATCATCAGGTACAGGGTTGGTTCAAGTTCTGCACTCGGACGAAGTGCAAAGTCAATGACCATGACTGGCAGAAGGGGAAGAGATCGAATGGTAGACACCGACAAAATGCAACATGTTAAATCAAAATAGTGACAGGAAGAACTGGGCATGCCGGATTTATAAACAATGCGCATACCTATGTGATCCTATCATACAATAATAGGTCATATATATATATATACTAATACTACACATTGATATATATATATATATATATATCTGGTTGGTGGTTTCAACCCCTCTGAAAAATATGAGTCAATGGGAAGGATGACAACCCATATATGAAATGGAAAATAAAACATGTTCCAAACCACCAACCAGTTGAGGTATAGATATATATATATATATACACTAACACTATATATATATATATGTATAGTATGTATATTGATAAATATATCGTCCATGACACATATAAATGGAGACAAAACTCAGATTGCTTCACTCCCAGGGCGTCCAATTTTTTTCGCCGGAGGCTTCCCTAAGGCCCATCCCAGCGCATTTCAAGGCCTGGAATGCCAGAATAGGGCGGCTTGTGGCAATGAACCACCTGAAGCTGGTGAAGATATCAGGTGCAGCTTGGGTGAGTCTATCTTAATATAGTGATATCATGACCATATATATATATATTACAATATTATCTTTATATCTGTAAATATATTATATATGATATGATGATGATAATATTTATATACAGTATGTATATATATATATACCATATATATATATATGATCATAGATATCTTTGCATCCCGTCCATTTGACGACTTTCGGATGCAAATCAACCAATAAAAAATGGACGACCCAAGAACAAACAATCCCAGCAACTTACCATTCCAAGGGTAACTTTACATTATCACAAATAGGGGCCTGCCAAGTAATAAGCCGCAATTGGGATGGTTTACTGTGGGTTTACGGTTTGCCTCATTAACACATCAAACCTGCGATTACTGTTGACCCCCCGGCCAGTGCGAAACATTCCAAGAGTTAAATCATGACTTTAGGGGAAGCCCCTTGTGACTTAACCAAGGTTCATGAATCTGGTGTTGACATTGAAATCATCCCTTGAATTCCACGCTTTTACCAAGGGACTTCAAGCAGCTCCCGTCAGTGTTTTTCCGGACAAAGGGCACAGCTGCAGTTTCGCGTGTGCAAAAAAAACAGCCCCAAATATAGACACCGATGAGAATGGACCGTTCCAAAGCAACACTTCAAATGATGGGTTCACCATTTTTAATTGGAAATTCACTATAAATGGTGATTTTCCATAGTTATGTTAAATTACCAGAGGGTAGGACTTCACAAGCCACTAACCAAATACATCAAATACTCCATGCAAAACATCCTTCTGCCCCAGCGGCACCTCCCCAAACTGCGCCATAGCCCTTGACATCCCCACACGGCTGTGTTGGGGCATGATGCCCGTGGTAATCCTCACCAGGGCCGACATCTCGTTGCCGCCCTGCTGCCCGGCCCCCGGTCCCCCGGGGTTCCAGGTACTGGAGCAACTGAAGTAGCTCACACGGAGCTATAGTGGTTTGAACCAAATACAGCCATAGATGGATGGTCCAGAACCAGAAAAAACAGATGATGAACAAATCTAAGTGAGTTCTATCTACATTGAAAATGAAGCTAGCCTAATTTTGCATAGAATATTCGTGCACCTGGTGTCTTTTCCAATCAAAGGATTATCTTAGGGGGCGGACAAGTTATCTGGCAATTGGACAGTTCGATGGCATCAGGATGGTACAAGCTGCTTCTGGCAATGCGCTCCAACCCATTCGCGCACGTTCGTCAATTTCAGTGATCTTCTGAGTAAGGATCGAACGCATAGGAAAAACATGGAAAAACGACAATGATAACAATGATAAAAGAAAATGCACCCATCAATCAGGAATGAGACTTGCATTCCACTGCGTCACTGGAACTCCACTTTAAGTCACATACTACCTCGAACAGGCGCCAGGTCGCCTAGAATAAGCATCACATATCATCACATCCCATTGGTCATTGTTCGTCCAATATACTTAACGCTAGTAAAGCAATGCTAGACCGCCCATATTTTTGAGGGTTTCTACCACCGATTTATGGTAAATTTGGGGATGGTGGATCCTATTGTTTTACTAGTTTTACTATATAATATTACTTACCATTAATCACCTAACGGTAGTTGCAACCATGAAATATGTCACGTTGTTCAATGGGGGTTGCCCCATGAAGGCTGAAGGAACTGAAGGGTCACGATGCCTGTTAGCTCTGGATTGGGCATCATCCCAAACAAGATTACACATGCCAAGAGAGCCATGGAAGAAAATCGCATCTTCTTTTCAAATATTAGTAGGGTTTTAAAAAATAGACCAAGTCAAAGGTTCACGGTTCTTAAGGTCAAAAAAAAGTTTCGAATCTAAATCTAGAACATATTGGAAACACCAGCCAAACCTGTAGCCATTGCTCAAACGCGCCGCCACTTTTGTTCTCTTTAATACTGTGCTGAAAGATTCCTTGGTTGGTGACCCAACACCGCTGTTCGTCGCACTGCCAGAAGTATGAGAGATACCCTCCGGTAATCAAACATGGCGAACTAGGAAATTCACAGTTCCATGGGAAAATCCTCTATCATTGAGAGATTCTGCATTGCCATGTTTGATTTCCAGAGGGCAAACAACAAAAATAAGGAGATTGATCACCAAAAGCAACAGCAACATCTACGACCAGGATTTTGACATAAGCATGCCCTAGACGTGGCAAGGAAGCTAAGAGGGAATAATAAACATTGGCATGACCAGTGCAACAAGGTATAGAGCCCCAAAAAAGGCTAGACCTTGGACTTGTGTATCATTTATATAGGTTCAAGTACTCATTCATGAACAACCATCAGGAGCAGAACAGGGGGAGCTACCGTGAGGGGAGTATCATGTAGGTTATGGGGATGGACATGCCACCTAATTCCCAATCAAACCGTAAACAACATCCAAAAGTATCAATCCAAAACAACAAACTGAAGCACCAATTGGTTGAATGAATCTCACCATCAACAATAGATATACACCATGATGCAACCTTCAAAATAACTTTAAAGCTTTTGATATCATAGGGGATGTTGAGAACTGCCTCTCAAAAACCGGAAAGTCTGTAGTATCTATAGTCAATAGTCCCAGTATGACGTGCGGTGCCCGATGCGAAAATCGACATCTGCGATGTCAAGGGTGCCCCAGCGACATCAGTTGAGCATAGTTGAGCCCCCAAAATCATATGGTTTACCCTCTGGTAATGACTAACATATCTATTGAACATGGCCCAGTCGAAATAGTGAGTTTTCCCATGAATAGCATGGTGATTTTCCAGTTCGTTATGTGACAGTCTCTGCAAAATCATCCCAAGGATCATCCCTATAGGAGCTAGCTCCTGGCAGCGCGACAGGGCGCGGTTCGTCATCACACCCCAAGGATTTCAGCTGAAACATTCGGGGAGGGCGACCCCGGGGATGGCTATTGAAACTAACACGACCTGCAGTCAGCAGTGGCGGTGCCACTCCAGCCCTGGAAGTTTCCACCATTATGACAGCAGCTCGTTCCTTTTTGGGTTTGCCAACCCAAATGAGTAAATCTACATACATACATACATACATACATACATACATACATACATACATACATACATACATACATACATACATACATACATACATACATACATACATACATACATACATACATACATACATACATACATACAACATACATACATACATACATACATACATACATACATACATACATACATACATACATACATACATACATACATACATACATACATACATACATACATACATACATACATACATACATACATACATACATACATACATACATACATACAACACACACATACATACATACATACATACATACATACATACACAGACAGATACAGACATACATACATACATACATACATACATACATACATACATACAGAGACAGACACATACATACATACATACATACATACATCCATACACACATACATACATACATACATACACAGGGACACATACATACAGACATAGATACATACATACATACATACATACACACATACATTACATACATTACATACATTACATACATTACATACTTTACATACATACATTACATACAACAGATTACATACATTACATACATTACATACATTACATTACATACATTACATACATTACATACATTACATACATACATTACATTACATTACATTACATTACATTACATTACATTACATTACATTACATTACATTACATTACATACATACATATATATACTGCAATATATATATATATATACAGTATATATATATTATTAATAATAATCATGGATTGAATTTGGAACTCCTACCTACAAAAGTCACCAGAGATCACAAGACGCCCCTTTTTTTATGGGACGTTTGAACATGTTTGAACTGCAAACAACGGGCATGGAGTAGGACCACTGGTGGCGATTGAAAACCTGTCAGATCATGATGCCCACTGTGTCGTGGATGACCTCACTGTCGTGGGTGCATGGACTGCTCACTGTGCGCATCAATTCACGGCCGATCCTGGAGACGTGTGCCTAAAACATGGACAAACCACAGGTTGATACTTAAACAAAGAAGCCCGGAAGCCCTGGCTTTTTAAGCCTTAAGCCCAAATAAAGAGGATTCTTGCCGAATTTCCGTTGAATTTCCCCATCATCCGCTATCCAATTCCAGGAAGCTGTTAACCCCAACTTTGCTGTATCTAGGAACCTGGGATAACCTGGGACACGTGCAAGCGCTTGCACTTAAAAGGTCTTGAACTCTACGGCGACTCTATGGAAAGGGCAAGCTTAATTGTCAGAGTTCCTTGGCCTCTAACTTCTCCCCAAAGTGATGGGAAGTTTACCCTGTCCTGGACAAAGCACGAATCCAATGTTACTTATTGTCGACGGCCAAATCACTCCAGTTCTCATTAACATCAATTCATATCAATTCACCCATCTCAAATGAAGGAATCTGGCTGCGTCTGCCGGTCAGATGTAATCCGTGTTCCCCTGAATTATACAAACACCGCCTACTGTAGAATCCCAAACGAAAGCATTTCTTAGCGGGACCCTCAGCAGGATCCATCGGGGGGGTATGAACAATGGGAATCAACCTGCATCAATGACCACACTTCATCTGTTACAGAGCACTGCCCAGGATCCGAACTGTGGCCGTTGCATGGCATGTTGTCTTTCCAACCGGCGCCGTAACACGAATCCCTCCTGCGATGACGTCCTGAAGTCGTCGATGTCCGGCACCAGGTTACCATCAACAAGGCACTCGTTCTCATCCGGTGGATGGTTTCAAAATGTAGACATGTTCAAACCAATAAGACATGAGACACATGAGGATTCTCATCCCAACTAGGGCTAGTTAAGTGGCCATCACATAAGAGTACATAAGAACTGCATCTCTTTCATCTGTGCTCAGTGAATTTCAAGATACATGGCCCAGAATTGCGATATTCTCAGGGATGGCAGGCTTTGAAACCAAAAGATCGAAGATAAAAGGGCCAGGGATCAGAGTTCACTTTCATGACGCATGCCAACCCTGGATGAATGGGGCAGCATGTCCAATAGATTCAAGCATTCCGATAGCAGTTGAAAGATACTGAAAGATACTGAAAGCAAGAACATGATAGAACATGTATGACGTTTTGGGGGGTGCAACCCTAATCAAATTTCTCAACCAGGTATAACCATCGATAACCAGCCGTTATCTCTCTGGGGCTGCAATTATTGCAAATTTTGTGGTGATGCATGGGCTGACCGAATATCCAAGGAATTTTTATTGGCTGCACCGCGCAGCCACAACTTTCAACATTCTCTTGAAGGCTAAAGAAGTGCGACATTTGAACTTAATGTGGAAAAGAACATTTAAAAAAACAAAATAAATAATCCCCAAAATCACCACAAATAGGTGGTGTAAACCATTCCCAGTCATGGGTGGTTTATTATTGTTTTACCTACATTACATCAGTTCTATCTTTTGCAACTTAAGGAACTACTAGCTCAAATGGTATTCTCCAGCGGATTATACCCAGCGAAGTGCACTTGCCAAAATTGTGCGACTGACTTCCGCCGTCATCGAAGGTCGAATTCGAGACGCTTGACATGTTAAAAGTCTAAATGTTTGCCGTGTCGCCAAGAAGGCATTGTTGGTAGCCAGCCTAATCCGGGAGCTGCCGAAAAGTCACTGATTGGAAGATCGGGAGCGAAATAAGCGAAGTTGAAACATGGAAAACACGCAAAAGAATGGCAAAATCTGATCCCAATATTCCCTTGGAATCAGGATGGGGTGCTTCTTTTGGATTAAGGAAAACAACTGTTGAAGTTGAATCATCCTCCGAGTGCGTCAGATCATTGCATCGTGCAGGTGCAGCTGCGCAGCTCTAGCGGGGCAGTGCCGGTGGAAGCGCTCACCGGGATGCACAGTTCAGTTGGTTGACTATAGGCTAGCTATAAGGTTTTTCTGAGGGATATATATATATATATATATCATGATATAACTATCCCAGATGCTGCATGGTGCTGGAATATGAATCCCAACATTTGCCCGAACAAAATCACCCAGTTTTGTAGGTAAATATGCCATACATGGAGCATATGGGTATAGTTGCTGGATGTTAATGAATGTTAATGGATGTTAATGGGCCTTATAAACATTATAAACCAACAAACATAATTCGGGGGGCCTCACCTGGCACCTCGGATGTCATTGGTACTAGGATGTCATACCCAGATTGTATCTTGGCACATCTTGGCACTGTGGTTATGGATGTTATGGTCTAACCCTCTGGCAATTTAACGTAGCTATTGAAAATGGCCATTTGTAGTGGATTTTCCCATTAAAAATGGTGGATCTTTCCATAGTTACGTGACAGTTTACCAGAGGGTAACCAGTGGATTTCCCAGTGTCTCAGCAAAGACTGCCCCGCAAGCTTTCCCCAGCGTGACGTGGTTGGGGATTGAGAACTCGAACTCACCGCGTCACGACTTGGCAGTGAACAACTCGGCCGACACGGACGCTGCTGAGGATTGATCCTGGACGACGTCCTTTGAATTCCAATATGGCGAACTGTAAGGTAAAATGGCCTTACCCTCTGGTAAACTAACATAGCGAACTGGAAAATCACCTTTTTTAATGGGAAAACTCACTATTTCTATGGCCATTTTCAATAGCTATATTAGTTTACCAGCCTTAAAAAAGAACGCAGGTCCAGTTGGAAAAAAACTGGTCCATGTGTGCCTGTGTCTGTGTGTGTTCAGGTATTGACATTGAACATGGAGAACAAGGCATGTGCTGAGTTTAGCAGCCCCCCGCCACACAAAAACAGCGGCATGACCGTAGCGTACCATAGCACAAGTGGCACATCTCCAATTAATCCAACATATAATACAATGTGGCCCCCCCAGTTATAAGTTGTTTTACAAACCCCATATAAGTATAATAAACCATCTAGTTATTGTTGGAGTTGTTTGCACCAACTTATATAGCTATCGTAAACGGGGGCCCCACATTGAACATATCTTCTATATCTGTTGCAGAACCAAAACCTGTATTGAGGACTCCCAGAGTCAATCCGCGTATGTGCAGGAGGTGCTGGTTCCTACCAACAGGCGGCTCGCGTCGCGCATTTCATTTCTCTAATTTTCTAACGGCACGGCCTGTTTTGAAGTGACATAGCTGCAGGGTCAAACACGGCGTCAAGTGTCATGTTCCAAAAAATGACCAACACATTCTTTTCCGGATCAAATGGGATCGACATATTTCACAAATAAAAACTGCCGCTCAGAGCTTGACCCTCTGAGTCCTGTGCAAGAATCGTCGGAATCAATTGGAAAACTTCGCTGGACCAACTCCCAATCGATGCGACGTAGCGAGCCAAGGAAATACAACTGTCATACCTTGAGCATCGATCTTGCAGGTATCAGGCACAAAAAATCTTGGGAACGGTTAGGTCCAGCCACACGTTCTCCCTTTGATTTGTTTTCAGACATTTGATTTTCGCCACAGGCGCATCAAAGCAGAATGCGGCACAGAGGCACGCAGCTAGCCTAATGACGAAGTCGACGAATTGCCCGGCCACAGCCTATTCAGTTCAAACCAGGCGTTGTGCGAGGCACAAACTGCACGGTTAAGGCGGTGGTCAAACTTGGACGAGCCTGGAAAGTAGAAAATGGCTAGCAATTGGCCTGGAACCACCATGAACCACTTACTTTAGCAGGGACAGTAGGGCTTCGAGCTGATGTTAAACTATATTAATTATGATACAGTAACATAATGTAACAAACCCACAGAAAACACCCAACTCCCGCATACAAGTTTCGCCTACCCTCCATAATGCTCTCCCTTTCATTCCTCGGCAGGAAATCTAACTAGGTACACGGCTCACAGGCGGCCGTGAGGAATTCAGCACACCAGCAATGCTGAGCATTTGTTTTTCTGCTGATTTACAGTGGTCAGAGCATTCCAGTCCATTTTGGATCTTTCACGCAGCCGTGCCATTGGTTAAAGCGGCTTCATCTCGTAATTAGATGGGGAAAAATATGTTTTTTAGTCATTTTGCAATGCAGTCAAACTATTTGTTTCAGTGGATGAAGCCGTCATTGAAAGTCATGATATTTCTTCAGCAGATCGACAAGGCATGACATCAATTCTTTGGGAGAACACGGCAAAATTGTTTGACGCCACATCCATTGCTGGATCATTGAATGCACACCTTGACTCATTTTGTGATGGCCATTTATCTCGTAAGGCGGGCAGCCAAGAACGTTATCAGCCCCCCCCAAACCCCCCCCAAAACCCCCCCAAGAAACAACAATGCGAAAATCAAGAGTGTCTTGCAAGTTACAAGAAGAAGTTGATAGCGTGTGCCAGGGTACGGTGCAAGAGAAGAGTGGATAGCGTAGCAGCAAGTCCAAGAGAATATCTCGTAAGGCGGGCAGCCAAGAACGTTATCAGCCCCCCCAAAACCCCCCCCCCAAAGAAACAACAATGCAAAAATCAAGGGTGTCTTGCAAGTTACAAGAAGAAGTTGATAGCGTGTGCCAGGGTACGGTGCAAGAGAAGAGTGGATAGCGTAGCAGCAAGTCCAAGAGAATATCTCGTAAGGTGGGCAGCCAAGAACGTTATCAGCCCCCCCAAAACCACCCCCAAAACCCCCCCCCAAGAAACAACAATGCGAAAATCAAGACTGCCTTGCAAGTTACCAGAAGAAGTTGATAGCGTGTGCCAGGGTACGGTGCAAGAGAAGAGTGGATAGCGTAGCAGCAAGTCCAAGAGAATATCTTGTAAGGCGGGCAGCCAAGAACGTTATCAGCCCCCCCCAAAACCACCCAAAACCACCCAAAACCCACGGCCGTCTATAAGCCGTGGTCCCACTACTTAATTCATCTCTCCACGCTTCCAAGAACAACCTCCGCCTACCCTGAACAAACTTTTCTGCATCTTTCTCAGGGGCTTAAATTTAGTCTATACTTTCAATTATCAATTGCTGTAATTCAACGGCCATTTCTGGTACCTAAACTGGAGGTCCTGTACCATCTAAAGCCAGATTGATGGACACATCCCCTTACATAGCCCTGACATAGACCTTATATTATGGTAGCATAGACCTTATATGACAAGTAATGACCTCCAATCAATCGGTTCCTGTTGCATGGCCAGCGATTTCTTGGAAGTGATTCAATCGTAGATTCGGATCCAAACCAACTTCCAACCCTTTTCCAACTTCCAGGCCCTTTTCCAGACGAGTTCTATGCACAAAGCTCGGCAGAGCCATGCTGATTTTTAAATGTGTCGATGGCAGCTGCGAGCTCCAAGGAGCCGGCAGAGACCTGAAAAAAAGTAGCCGCTCGCCGCTTTTTTTAGCCGCTGAGATGACTAATTTTGTGAGTACTTTATGGGGGAAATGTTACAGATGTATATCACAAAAGACATGATACTATAGGGGGTATTAAGAATAACCATGGTATTTAACAATGACTAAAATAATATATACATATATAGTCACAACATTTTTTGGGAATACCCAAATCTGAACATCATACCCATCAGACCACCTTCGGAAGCTCTGCAAAACAAACATTGGAATTGGTGCGATATACCCTAGGTATACCTATAAGAAGCTGATAATCTATCATTGCCATACCACTGAGGAAAAAAAAGAAAATAAACACAAATAAATACGTTGCGTAAGTGACCATGCATGCCTACACATGAATGCATACATTAATATGCCTATGAATCAATTAGTAGATGAACACAAAAAATATGACTTTATAAAACTTTTTATGTATACCTATTAACAAGAGAAATCATTGACATCATCTGCCCCATGTACCAAGATCTCAAGCGCAATTCCCTGCAATTCGGACGTGCCTGTGCATCCACTGCGCAGGCCGTATCTTTGATGTCCTGATGCAACCTGGGATGCTAATGTTGTAGCCGGATGCTACGTCAGCTGTCCCAACACTTCCCAACTTATGGGGATGAATCTCCCATAAGTACACTCCTGCACCCGGGGGGTTAGCGAAGAAAAAATCTCTGGGTGGATTGCATCGAATTAGTGGAATCAAGCTGACGCTGCGGTCCTGATCGCTGTTCCTTTGTTCTTTTTCTCCAGGTCGTTTGCGTTTCAAGTCTTAGGGGTTCCAAGCTTGGAATGGAACTAAACATGCAACAGGACCCCATCCAACATCCAACACATCCCATCCAAGGTCAGTCGAAAAAGTTTTTCAAAATCCAGGGGGCTTCTCCGCAGTAGAGCGGAAGATGAATTTCTCAAAGTTGTCGAGAACGAGCTTGGGCTTGGAAAGCGTGCCCAAAGCTTCACTCATGTACTTCTGCGCCTGGGAGACTTCAGCAAGGCGCTGACCCCGAAGCTGACTGCGAAGTTGCGGAAGGAACTAGTTGAACTCCGGTTTATGGCAGATATATCTTGAGATATACAGATATAATTATATATATATAATACATCTATAGTTTATATAGTTAAATGATAGTTAAATGGAGTTATAAATTCTAACCAACTCTTTTAACTGCGGGCACCTTGTACTTCACCAGATAAGATGATCATCATTGGACCATGGCACAAGGAACTCATCCCAGGCGCAAGGTACCTCTCTTTTTTTGGTCCAAAAACAAACAGTAAGTGAATCATCCTAACTGTCATGCAGCCATGTTTTCCCTAATTTTATTAATGTATATAATTCATCCCAATGATAACCCCAAAATGATGATCAATTATGATTGATAGTCTATTGTGGGATGATTATTGGTGAGATAGATAGAGAGATAGATAGATAGATAGATAGATAGATAGACAGATAGATAGATAGATAGATCGATAGATTCCAACTCCTTGGATCCGCAGGTTGTGAGCTCCATCATTTGATGGGCTATACTGTCAAAGCCTACAATGTAAGGCAAAAACGGCAAGGAAAAATGGGCGACCAAGCAGGCAACGTCAGCGATGCCAGCAGGGCAACGCGATTGGAATGCAAAGTGCCCAGCTGCCGTGGCAAAAGGGCTGTCGCCTCACTTGCCTGCGAAAAACCTTCCTGCCCTTCGGCAGGGAAGGCGCAGGGAAGGGAAGCAGCCGCCAAGAAGGCAACAAGAGTTTGCCCGAGAAAGGCAAGCTTAAACAAAAAAGGCATCACTCACTCAGGCGCTGGCTGGTGCAAGACGTGGGCGTTGGCACGGCCAACCGACTAGGGCGCTGCGAAGCAGGAGGCGTCGTCTGCTGGGGGCAAGCGCCGGAGCACGGCTCTTGCGTTTTCTCGCTGCAAGGCCACAGACAAGGCTTGAAGCAGCTGCTCAACGCCCTGGGACGCCGTCAGCCCGATGCAAGCTCCATGCAACGCCCCAAGTTTTTTCCAAGTGGCAGAAGCGGTGGGGCCCCACCCACCACAGCAAGCTTCAACCACAAGAGGCACGAACTGGAGGCCTTGGCCGTGGCAGTGCTGCTCCGTGTTCTGATGGGCTCGCTTTCTCCCTTCGTAGTTGGTGGCAGCAGACCGACCACACGCAGCGGAGGCGGGAAGCACTGAGCCTCGCATGCCACTCGTGGCGGCGAGATCAAAAGCTGCTGGCCCATGGGCCCCCCATGCAGGGATGTAAACATCAGCCGGCCGTCGATAGATAGATAGATAGTTAGATAGATAGATAGAGATAGATAGATAGATAGATTGATATAGATATATATATATATAGATATAAATAGATATAGATAGATATAGATATATATATATAGATATAAATAGATATAGATAGATATAGCTAGATATAGATATAAATATAGATATAGATATATATAGATATAGATAGATATAGATAGATGTATATATATATACAGATATACATATAGATATATATATATAGATATAAATAGATATAGATAGGTATAGCTAGATATAGATATAGATATAGATATATATATATAGATATAGATAGATATAGATAAATATAGATAGATATAGAATATAGATAGATATGGATAGATATGGATAGACATGGATTGATATGGATAGATATGGAAAGAAATGGAAAGATATGGATAGATATGGAAAGGTATAGATAGATATAAATAGATATAGATAGACATAGATATATATATATATATTGGGGAGTGCCTTGGCCTCTTTGTCTGTGGAGGCCAGAAACTATTTCTTAAATAAACCCAATTTACAGAAACTATTTCCTAAATCAACCCTAAGTTGGGAAACTAATTGAAACTATTTCTTAAATAAACCCAATTTACAGAAACTATTTCTTAAATCAACCCAATTTGCAGAAACTATTTCCTAAATAAATGGAAGTTTTGGAAACTTTTGGAAATTACCTCAAAAAATGCATTAATAAAAAAACTAAAAAAGTAATTCAAGTTACGCCTTCTAGGGATTGGTTTGAAACGGTTTGAAACGGTTTCGGACTATTACCTAGCAAGTAGCGGGAAACGGTTTGAAACGGTTTCGGACTATTTGCTAATTAGCCATTCTCAGAAACTATTTGAAGCTATTTGAAGCTGTTTGAAACTATTTGAAACTATTTGCAGTTTTTGCCAGGGTGAATTAGCAAATAGTAGGAAACGGTTTCGGACGGTTTCGGACTATTACCTAACAAGTAGCGGGAAACGGTTTGAAACGGTTTCTGTGATACCCTTACTCTGCCTTAAATCATCAAACAAGACAATATACCAATAAAGATAAATAAAACCTAAGTTGACAAATATAGACACATATAGACACATTATGACATATTGAAACTCCTTACAGACTGAAAAGTAAGAAAGAAACAGTGACTGATTCTGAGATGAGGAGTCAAAGAACATAGAACGAAACAGAATGAACATAGATCGAAACAGAATGAAGGGTGCCTGCGTGGCAGCCTCTCTCTCTCGGTGAGAACATGGCTCACTTGTCTGGGGCAATCTCTGGACTTTAAGTGATTGACTGCTATCCTTGTCCAATGGTTGGGATTGGTAAAAGCAATCCTGGTTTTGTAAATGGTTTCTGGGTTTGGGGCCCAGATTAAGAAATAGTTTCTAGGATTTAAGAAATATTTAAGAAATAGTTTCCAGGATTTAAGAAATAGTTTCCAGGATTTAAGAAATAGTTTCTGGGATTTAAGAAATAGTTTCTGGGATTTAAGAAATAGTTTCCAGGATTTAAGAAATAGTTTCCAGGATTTAAGAAATAGTTTCCTTTCATATTTACCTCTTAGGAAGGTTAAGCTGGTAGGCTCCCGACGAAACCGGACCCGGGGGGCCCCGGGCTCCCGCGACAGACCTTGACAAATAGAGAAAAGTTCAGGCACACACCAGTCCGGACTTTTGGGGGAAACCCCTGACTTGGGTATCCTCTGAGGTGTCTAAAATGCCATGTGGCAAAGGCCTGCTAACACCATCCCCCAACTCACCCGCAAAGGCTATCAGCCACATGGTTTTGTTTGGGGAGCAATTTTTTTTCATCCCACAACTTGTGGGTATCGCGTGTGGAATTATTCGCGGCGTTGTATGGTGCATTTGGCGAAAACTGCGCTGGGACAGGGTATGTGTTTATGTTGCTGTTTGACAAACCCTTCCCTGGATTGAAACAGCATTGCAACTGGTATGGCGCGATAGTACTCCCAACTGGAGTCTAGATGGTTTCAAGTTTCAAGCGTCAACAGTTTCAGTGTGGTGAGCCATGGGTGAAGGAGGCTCTAGTACTATTAAACGGGCATGTGCGGTAAAGACATTAGTTCTTTCTCACCACAAACTACCATTGGCAAATGCGTGTTCCAAGATTGACCAGGTTTGCCCTGACAACATGGTCAATATCAACTTTTACTTGCAAATATTACCCCTTTGATTCAAGTAATGGTTTCTGGGAAATCAACATGATTTAGCAAATGGTTTCTACATGTTCTACTTTACGGGAAAAAGAGTTTCTACATATCCTACTTATTTAGCAGATGGTGTCTAGTATTTAGCAAATGGTTTCTAGTTTTTTGCACATGGTTTCCAGAATTTGGCAAATAGTTTCTAGTATTTAGCAAATAGCTTCTAGTATTTAGCAAATGGTCTCTAGAATTTAGCAAATGATTTCCACCTGTGCAAGAAATAGTTTCTGGATTTTACAGAAATGGCAAATAAAGAAGCCAATGCACTCCACAATATATATATATATATATGATATAGATATAGAGATAGATATAGAGATAGAAAGAAAGATAGATAGATAGATCGATCGATAGATGGATAGATATATACATATGCATATGCATATGTGTGTGACTATCATGTCTACCCTGTGTAGTCAAACCTCGCACTTGGAAATCCGTTGAACATCCCCTACAGATGGAGGTTTTTAGCTGGATTCCACCATACATGAAGGATTTAGACATTGCCATGTTTGATTAGCGGAGGGTAGATATACTGGAATACACCCAGGATTCTATGGTTAATTGCGATTTATGGAGACTATATATATATATATATATCATGATATATCTATAGTTAGTTAATGTTAGTGACTTTGGTCTATTAACCAACTTTAACTGGGCTGGCACCACCTATCGTATGTGTGACATTGTGTGACTATCTTCTCTGGCTTTGTCTAAAAATAAGCTAAGTTGGTTGAAATAAGTCCAATGGTGATTTTCCATAGTTATGTTAGTTTACCAAAGGGTAACGAATGGGATTACCCATGTTGGGGGTAGCCCAAGCAGCCGTGATCTTGGATCACCATCACCCAAGGAAGGTGCCTGGTCTTCATCGTTGGCCTTATAGCGTGCCATTCCCAAATCTGCCAGGTCTGAAGCCAAGGTCACCTGTGATTTTTTGATCCGGATGGAATTGATTGGAGTTTCAGGTTTGATTGAAACAAATGAATTTATGGTGATGTTATTGGGAAATTGCTGTGATCTAATGGGGATCTTTATGGGATTTTTATTGTGGTTTAATGGTTTTTAAAAGGATGAATGGATGGGTTTCAGGGAGTTTACTGGTGTTTAATAGGGTTTATTGTGTCCAGATCCCTATTCGTTGGATGGATGGAAGGGAACAACTTTACCGGAAACATGGTTGCTTCTAACCACTGAATATAGGTATCTCCTGGAGATTTTCCCTTTAACCAGCCCGTTGATGGTTGGATCTGGGGGGGTGCATCTCAGTTAAGCATGGTTGATCGTTTTACATGGGATATTCTCTTGATGTAATTGGGTCATAATATGCTTATTACCCTGCTACATCGTGCTACTATCTGGGATGCACCCCCAAGTGGGGTGGTATGTAGAACAAAATGGGGCCAGTCTTGCATGCAATTTATAATATGTGTTTATCACCTACCAATAAAGATTAAAGGTTGGGGAACAAGTGTAACCCCCTGTTGATAAAACAATCACTGGGGAAAGGAAACTTATGGGGTAAAACTCGCAAGTTGCCGATCTATTTTTTTAGTTGATCTTCGGGGTTCAACCTCATTTGATTTTTTTTTGGAGAAATTGATCAAGAATGAGTGACATCTGTTGTGGGTCATTGGAAATCTCTTAGGAGACGAAAGCAGCAAGTCAAGTTCTGGATATGCCATGCAATTCCTACGGAAATAGAACCATTTAGAATATGTGTAGAGTTGATTTTTGCTTGTCAGCACGCTGACCAAGCTTTCTGGCGGATTCTTTCGGGGAGATAAGCATGGGCATGTTCTTGAAAGATTGATAACAGATCCAAAAAAATAGAAACATGTTTTCAGGATGGTATAGAAATGTATAGAGGATGTGTCCCACTGTCCCACCATATTTCCTTCATATGTTCAATGTTTCCAACTTTTAGGTTCCAAAGGGGTTGCTGCCGAAACTCAACGTGCTGTCAAATCTTTGCCGAATCCTGGGAGTTTACCATATCTTACCGGTAATCAAACTTGCGGCAACAGACAATTCCCAAGTGCAAATGAGTTTCCCAGCTACAAACCTCCATTGTTGGAGATTTCCCATGGCTGTGCTGGAAACATCAAACAAATATCTGCTACACTAACGTAGCCATAGTTCTGCGGCACAATCCACAGGAATCGGCTCAGGCACAGCCAACTCACGCTGGCACTTGTCCGCAAAGCTGCTCGGAATCGATTCCTTGGATGTGGATTTTGGAGTACCATTGGACTACAGTATGACTATAGTGACTGTAGATAGAAATCGTCAATCATATCGGTATAGGCATAACACATGTGAATGAACGCGAAAAATGTAAACACAATCAAATAGATACATAGTAAATAATATATTCATTCATTTATATACATATACTATATATATATATATATATCTATATATATATATATATCTATATATATATGTGTGTGTGTGATCAAACACCCATTTGCCTTCTACCCAGCATACATGGCGAATCCCCGCCGGTCCCCAGCATATAAACACAAGCATCGTCTCACCTGAATGATACAAATGGAGGATCCGATTAAAAGTGATGACATGGCTGGCAGGCATAGGAAATCTCAGAGTTAACCATTCGTAATTGAGGGGAAAACTAGGGGTCATAAGTGAGTCATAAGTCGTCACATTTCATCATGGTGGAGTTGGGTATGATTTCACGGTCGTTTTTCAAGAATTTTTGGGAAAAAAGCACTTCTGGGGTGAAAGATCGCTTGTGGGCATGGCCCCTGGTTAGGGGCCCTTGAAATACGTCAATCATCCGGACCTTTGCTGCTCAAATACCGATGTGCTTTGAGCTGGCAAAATCATTGAATAAAAATTAACTTGGCGGCTATCAAGTCATCCTCTGATCATTTCATCCAAATGGATGTGTCTGTAAATAGGCTACCCTATATTTTATCCGAATCTGTCCCACATTTTCCCGAACAATGCCGGTGTTTTTGGGGCTATAACTAGCCCATTTTTGGACACCATTTCTGGATGATTTCAAGTCCCAACAGGTCGGGGCCCAAGATGGTCCAAGGTTTTGTCCAAGCATCAGCTGCTGCAGCGGTGGCCTCATAAACAGCTCGAGCACAGTTGATGGAACGCAGCAGCAGCTCCTAGGGCGCCATCCGGTTGATGGCTGGCTTATTTACTGCCAAATCCATGGCGAAAAATCATGGGATAACTATATTTTCATAGGGATCCATGGCTTTAATATGCTTTAATCATACGCTTTCAACACTGATTTAACTATCAAAATGAGATCACGGGATAGCGCTTTTGGATTCACATACAGAAATCTACATACCCTCTGGTAATGACAAAACAAAATGCTATTGAAAATGGTGATTTATATATATATATAGTGGATTTACCCATTGAAAATGCTGATTTTCCATATAGTTATGTTAGTTTCAATCATCCAAACAACAATAACCATGGCTTGATTCCTCGGCTTCCCCGCCTCCTCTCCCACGCTGGGCAAGCCCGCCGCCGCCATGCGCCGCCCGATGGATTGAGCTTCAGGGAGGTCGCAACGTCGCAGAGCGGCACACTTGGCACGGATGTAGAGGAGCTGATAACCTGAGTTTCAAAGCCCTGTACTGGGCTTGAATATCCATGAATTTAGGGTTTTTTTAATGGCTTTCAGTGATAGTCCCCATATCAAGGTGCAGAAAAAAAGTAGGGCATGGGGGGAGTGGGATGATTATAGTTGTGGATTGGATCATTCCCCCATTCCCTACGTTCAGCAGTAAAACTACTGGGGACTATCATTGAAAACTATCATTGAAAACCACAAAATTTATGGTGATTTACCATCTGGCAATCTAACAGGGAAAACCGAACCTTCCTATTTTTGCCGAGACCTTAATTCCATCCATATCAAACACCCACCAAATGATTCCACAGATGTCATTCCCCTACCAAACCATGGTTTTGGAATTTGCGTGTGTCTGGACATTGGGTATCCAGGAAAAAATGACCGTGTTTGAAACATCAAATTGTGGGGCACCCGGTGTTCAAACTCGGTACGGTTGATGGGGGAATATGAGGCATTTATCCATAATCATCTATAGATTGGTCTGTAAATAACCTTAAAACTGGGTGGCCCTTTCTGCAAGGCTGGGAGATCAGAACCTATTTATGGGAACATGATACTGATACTATGCGTTTCTTTTTGCCTTGATTGGAAACTATGTCGTAGAACGTGTTTCTTCTCAGAAAAAATAATATTCTCTGGATATGACCTGTACAGGTGTGTAAAACGGGAAGAAAACATTCTCAACGGATCATGGGTACAATGAGCATCATCACGGGGGTGAATAAGCCTAGATACAGTAGGACAGTAGGAAGTCCCTCAAGTTGGTTATCCTAATTTCACCATGTGTATACCCTCTGGTAAACTAACATAGCTATTGAAAATTGCCATTTATAGTGGATTTTCCCATTAAACATGGTGGTTTTCAATAGCTGTGTTTGTTTATCAGAGGGTAGGTGGTATAAACCATTCCCTTTTTTTTTAGTGGGTGGTTTATGATTGTGTATATTATTGTTTTACCCACATTATCCCATTTATAAATTACTCGTCGCCGCAGTTGCTGAAAACTAAGTGGAATGATCCGAAAGACAGTTCCTGGGTGACAGGCATGGGATGCCAAATCGCGAGCCCAAATCATCATGTTGAGAATATATATACGTATATATATATATGTATACATATACATGTATATATATATATACATACATACATATACATACATGTATATATATATATGTGTATATATATAATAATTATAATGTATATATGTATATATTAATAGTGTGTGTCGCTTTCTCGAGCACGCCAGGCACGCCGTAGCGCCAAGGGCGTCGCCAAGGAACGGACCCAGAAGAGCTCTGAACGGTGCACTTCAATGATAAGTTCATGCGCCTGACGAATTCGACGGTGGATATCCCTAGATATCCTTAAGAGATCCTTAACTGACGGTGCAAATAATGAATATGACTATGCTTAACTATGTTTGATTGTGGTTAACTATATGTTGAACTGTTGAATTGTTGAATTTGGATTCGTTGCCTAGCTTAACGATGTTTAAATGATGGGTTCATGGTAGATACATCTGCCTTTTTCCATGGCTTTATAAGCCAGCAAAAATAACCGGGGGCACCACTTTGTAGACTAGCGCCAGGAAGCACTTCAGCGTTCAGGAACAGCACGGGATAAGCAGGTTGGTCGACTGGTACAACAACTGGAGATCCATTATAATTAGTGAATGATAATCCTATACAAAGGGCTAGAACAATTGCAATACCTGAACCGGAAATGTTGGGCCATTTGGGGATATTTACTTCTATTGACCGTCATTCCAGTGACGTCGCGGAGAGTTTGTTCCAACGTATTCAGACATTATATATATATATACATACATTATATATATGTTTTTTTTTAAATAAATATATATATATAATATATATTTATTTATTTATACATATATATATATATTATACCCCATGGAGAGAACAGCGTTGCTTGAGCAGGATCATGGCCGAAATGCCGATCTGGGACTGCTGAATACTGCTGAATACTGCTGAGATATATTTCTCAGCGGCAAGCAACACTTCTGTCCCCATGTTGAGTCACAGGGGATCATCTGCAGAATAGTACTATCCCCATTACAAGAATGGTACTCTCTCGTACTCAAAGGTGGCAGTGGGATATCTTCCATTTGTTGTTCCCATGAAAAGCTCCACTTGTAGGCGAATTCCAATTGCCACGTTTGAATACGTTTGATTATCGGTTGGTACCTGGATGCATTTAGCATCTACTTCTGCTTCTGTCGGATATCTGCGGTTCTGCTCTCAAAATCTCACTGCTGGTGCTGGTCAAATAAACCGTTTTAGTTTGTTAAACACCAATGCTGATGGCAGTCAGCAATCTGGATGGTGCTTGGCTAACTAGTTTTCTTTGCCTAGTTAAATTTGTTGTTTGTGGTAGATATCTGTACTTAAATTGGTTAACACCAATAAACATGACTGGGAAGGCACGTGGAAGGCAGCGCCTTCTTTTCTCATATCAAACACCTGGATCTGCCCAGCACCGTTTAGAGCATACCCTTCGGTAATTTAAGAGACCTATTGAACATCACCATGTTGAATAGACAAATCATCAAAGTCAATGGGCGATCTTTAATGGCAAACTGTCAGTCATTACCGGAGGATCTGAAATTAAACCTCCAATCTATGATGTTTTTTCCCATGAAAACATCAATTTAGTTCCAGGATATCCCCGGTACCTGGCACTTGAACTTCTCGATCTCCTTGGGGTCCTGGGGATGTCAAGATGTAATTTTTCAGGAGCCTTCAATGGCGTAGTGCTGGCTGAATTTCAAAGGAATATCGTGGCAATATAATGGTATACGGTACCTATTGAAGAAACTAAATATTGAGATCTCCGTCCACCTTGGGCATCTATCTAAGATTTCAGAGAAGCAAAAAGAACCTCTCCCATATGCTCCATGTATGGCATATTTACCTACATTTGGGTGATTTTGTTCGGGCAAATGTTGGTAAATATTCCAGCACCATGGAGCATCTGGGTCTACTAAATAGAGGTGCCTACTTCTAAACCGGAGGGTATAATCAGGCGGTACCTCAATCAAGTTCTTCAGCGCACTCCATTCCCAAAACCATGACCCATCGGAGCATATTCACCGCTTTGGCGCATCAATAGCAGCAACTGAAACATCTTTGAGATAGGGGATCATTAATGATCATTGGGGGTTGCTTAGTGAAGTCATTCAGTCAAGCAAGTGCAATCGCAGCAATGCTGAGCAACTGCCCTGCTCTCATCCCTCCCCACACTAGCTGTATCAGGCTGTATCCAACCAACCACATCCATCTACTGCAGTTTGCCACGCTGTTTCCTATGACAGTTGACTTACGCATACTTGCGCTACTGCTTCCAGTTCTCTTCGTCGAAACTTGTCTAAACCCTAGTTCTGTATATAGTTCTGTTGTGACCATATCTCCACTCCCAAACTCCCCGGCTCGTCCCTTCATCAAGAACAAATACTGGAGCTCCGGAGCTCCGATCTCCCAGAATGATTGAGATCCAATATCTCTGTATATTATGACTAGAATACACACACACACACATATATATATATATATAATATATATATATATATATATGACTAAAAAAATATGAATGTTCACCCATTTCCTCATGTTTCAACATCCCACGGAAGTTCTTCCATCACCTGCCATTCCCAAGTCCCGACCGTCCCGACCGTCCCGACCGTCCCGACCGTCCCGTCCGTCCCGTCCGTCCCGACCCCGAAAAACCCGGCGCCTCGAAACCTGCTTGACCTTCCTGCATCAGCTTTAGGGATTCGTTGAGGTCCTCACTCTGTCAGGATGGAGAATGGGCAGGTATCCTCCAGATCTCTCAAAATGAAGGGTTTCGAGATGGGAAAATCATGGGAAAATCAGGGAACATCTGGAAAAATATGGTGGAAAATATGGGAAACACCAGTATAAATTGTGAAAGTTTATAACTGGGAAAATCATGGAACTAAAGGGAAGATGTCCAGCAAGCGCCTCTTGGAACATGATCTACAACTGGTAACTCTCCCTAAGATCTGAATGTGAATTTTGACGTACCTCGACTGGAGGGCAGATATTTTTGATCAGGATTAGATCCAATCATAAAACAATCTGCAATTGTGGGATATCATTCATGAATCATATTTTAATAATTACTATATATTATCATTTTGATTCATTTTGTAATATTGGGTGTATCCGTGAGTTCGGGATGCAAAATGACCTCCAGCGATGGCTACTGGGATGGTTTAGCCTCCCTGAACTAACATAGACACTACCAAACACTGTAAGTTGCTAGGGAGTGGCACCCCCTAGATAGCTAAGTTGGATTATAACTCCGACTCCAACAGGTAGAGTTTATGATGGTTTATGGCAAGTATAACTATAGTAGTTATTCATGGTGTGAATCTAAAGCAACAAACATCACTGGTGGGCCTCACCTTGTAACTATATTTATACTTTAAAACACACCTGTTGACTGGGGAGAACGATAATTGTTACCTAGTTATCACCCACTTGTCAAGAAAAACAGCTAAGCCCTGGTATCCCCTGGTGCCTTCTTAAACATCTTAACGCTCCAAGCCGTTGTCCCCGAGACCCCAAGGTCATGGCGTTCCCCACCCCCGGGTTTCCCACCTGGATGAGCTGGTCCTTCAGCTCCTGCGGCCACGGCTCCGACTCCACCTGCAGGGTCTCACTTTTCTCGGCCGCTTGACGCAAGAGCCTCGAAGGATGGGGTCCAATGCCAGCAGCGAATGGAAGATATTCAAAACGGTTACACACACACAGATCTATATATATATATATGAGGTATATGTAGAAATATGTTACAAACACACATATATATATATACAGTATATGAATGGAAAACTATGAAGCAACATGGAAGAGATTCAAAAAACGGTAATATTACTGGTTGGTGGTGCAATAACCATCTTGAAAAATATTGATTCTCGTCAATGGGAAGGATTATCCTATATGGAAAATAAACAATGTTCCAAACCAGCAACCATATATATATATATATGGGATATATATATATATGTACAAATATGTTGAATATACATATATATATATATATACATGTGTTTGTGTATATAAATATATAAATATACATATATATATATGTACACATATGTTAAATATATATATATATATACATGTGTTTGTGCATATATATATATATCACGGTATGTATACACACGCAATTCTACGCAAATATTTTAGTCTAATTAATTATATAGTTTGGATGGTTCAGAACTGTGGTTGACATTGAAGTCTGTACATCAATCCATTAAAAAAAAAAAGGATCATCTCCGGCCAAATCTTCTGTTCCCAAGCCACTCGCCGGCCAAATCCTTCTGCAACACTGCGAGCAGGTCCTGGACCGAAGCTGGGCACTGAGGATATGGAAACCAAACATCATTTGAAACTAGCCAGTTTTATAACTTATATAACTTATATAGGTGATATTAGGTGATATATAAGTTGTATTGAAACTCCCATTCATAGGTGATATTGGATGAACACCTATGATAGGTTCTTGGAACTCTTATAGCTTTGTTGATGTTTGTTGGCTGTTGTCGCTGCTTTAACTTGCATAGAAATGATCCCTTTTGTAATGAAACTATGGAAAACCGGATTTCGAATCGGTAAATCATGGTAAATCCTCAGAAAAACCTGTCATCTTCCATTGAGTTCCCTAGCATTCCCTACAATGTGGGGCCCTCCAGTTATAAGATGGTTTATAACACCCCATTAAGTATAGTTATAAGTATCATAAACCATAGTTATTGGAGTTATAAACCAACTTAGCTATCTAGGGGGCCCCACATTCTACCTATGTTAGATGCGAAATTTCTCGCTTTTTGTCCTTGGGCAAATCGTCCCGTTCACGAAGGGAAACGGCAAAGTCCAGGTAGGCACTCGGTTCAGTCATCCTGCGCGATCTGAATTTGGTGATTTTGGGGCCATCATGATGATGGTGATTCATGATGATTGATGCTTAATAATGGTTAATAAGTGTTAATAATGGTTAATAATCATTACAGTCATCAATTTAATGATGGTTAATGGTGATTAATGATGACTGATGACTGTACCCTCTGGTAATGACTAACAGTTTGCGAACTTGAAAATGGCAATTCATAGTTGATCTACCCATTAAACAGTATGATTTTCCATAGCGAACTGTTAGTTTACCAGAGGGTAAGCCAGCAACAATCTGTCTGGCTAATTCTAGGGGGAAAACCACATCTAGCCTATGTAGCCTATGTTCAAGGACATCTTTTCATCTTTCGACATCAATGGGTCATGAGGTTCAAACTTTTGGAGACCAACCGGCATCGCAACGCCTAACCTCCAGTGACACAGAAGCAAGGACATGCCAGGACCCATTACTTATATAATTATCCTCTCTTGGCCTCCACCACCATGAGGACTGCGGTCGGGTCCTTTGCTGAAATAAAGCCTGCATGCCAGCGACAAATCTGATTACAAAATGGTTAAAGATTTTAAAGGCAATCAGTTTGCAGGATTCGAAGGCAAAGGCTGACGACTTTGGGGCAAATGTCAAGCGGACGGAACACATCATGCCAGTCTGAGTCCACACATTGTCCTGTCTCAGTGAGCTCCATCACATTCCCACCGTCGTCTCATCATCATTCCATATCTATCTGCCAGAAGTTCATAGAAGCCGTTTGTGCATATTAACATAGGTATGTAGTCATGTAATTAGTTGTGTGAGTGCGTGTCAATTTCCAAAATTGATCTACTATGATCTACTGCTCTACCTCTTCATACCCTCAGTGCGACCGTTGCACCCTTGGATCCCTTGGGTCCCTTGGGCGTGCCTGGTAAGCTTGACCATCCACGGGATTCCACTCACTCCAAGCAGCCCAATTGCGCACATGCTGTGCGCTTAGCAACTTGGGTACATAGCCTGATCCCCGGCAAACGGGGGACCATCTGAGTAGGAGAAAACAACGAAACCTAGGGTGCTAGATCCCAACCAGTGCCTGAATTGGACACCCAAATACCCAACTCAACTCAAGCTAGAGTATAGTCACTGTTAGTTGGTAAACTGTCACATAACTATGGAAAATATCACCATTTTAAATAGATAATCAACTATTTCAATGGGCCATTTTTAATAGCTATGTTAGTCATTCCCAGAGGGTACATTTTTTGCCATTCTACAAAAACAATCAAATACAGCAGATTGAATCACTGGGACCCAGCAGGAAGTCATTGCAGAATGGTGTCGGGCAACAAAACCCCATGGCACACAACACCACGACTGAAATCATGATCTATGCAACAAGAATCAGCAAAAGCACCCTTAAACCGCACCCAAACAGATGTATGTATCGGTGCGCCCATTCCAAAATGTGTTCCCAATATCGTATGGATTTGAGAAAAAAAAACTTGCCCGCAACAAGATTTAGCAAAATTACATCTGTGTTTTTGCACACTTCAAGATGCAGAACTACACGGCACACCCGTCTCGCAACGATTTGTGCCAAATGAAAAACAATGATGTACGATGCCAAAATAATCAAAGCGCGCCGACTTTGTCACTTGGGAGTAAGCCAAGTTCTGAGGGGGGTCGTTATCATCGTCTTTATGGGACTAATTGCTTCATAGCTCCCTATCTCCACCCTCCACCAAACTACGCCAAGACACGATGGACGTATTGTCTCAGGGTGGGTCCCACCATCGTCAAACTCGCCATGGCCCGATTTCGAACTCACCCGCCGTCCGCGTTGCCGCCGTCCGCAAGTCGCTGTCCCAGCCGACTAGGAAATGTTGCAGGAAAACCATGCATGTGTTCGACTCGCCAATTTGGGATTTGCAACATCTTGGCAGTTTAGAAACCAACATTGTAATATCCTATGGTTTGTAAATATTGTTTCTTGCATGTGTGTATCCAATTTCCCTGAACTCATTACGCATGGGAAAGGACCTTTCAAAAACATTAGTCATAAGTAGGATACCATGATACTGGGACCCTCGAATGATCATCCATGAAACTTGGCAGTTCATGCATATATAAATATGAACAATAGCTGTATATATATATACTATATATATAATTTATTACGTATATATATATATATACACACTGTATATTTGTCTGCTCCCTCCGTGTATCTAGGCAAACCTATCTAAGCCAATGTTGGTAAAACAATAGTAAACCATCCCCAATTTTTCCATACACTCTTAAATGGGTGGTATAAACTATCAACTCCATCAACAAATTGGTGGTTTATTGAATTTGCTTTACTACTATAACGTTAATCCTCCCAAACTACCCTGAAAATCTGCTGGTCGGTGGTTTCAACCCCTCTGAAAAATATTAGTCAGTTGGGATTATTATTCCCAATATATGGAAAATAAAAGCCATGTTCCAAACCACCAACCAGTCTGAGTGTGTTCGGCCCCGACCCAGTTTTCATCCTTCCATGCTGATGCCGCTGATGCCGTAGCATCTCTTCGCGAGTTCCGACTCCTGACAGGCGCTGTCAGCATTTGGTTGCCTTCCAGAATCGTGTTCTAGATGCTTGTCATAGCTACCTAAGTGCTTATAGGAACTGGATGATCTATGCCAGTTCCTAACTGGGATGTATACAAATAAAAAAAAAAAACTATATATATATATATATTTATACACCTATAATAAACGTATATTAGATATGTATACCATATACCCCACTTACTAACACTTAGCTCATTCTGGCAACATCAAAGTACTGCTGGTTAAAGCCTCGAGGTGATCCTGCAGACCCGCTGAATCCATGTTTCACATGTGGATAGAAATGGGATTTTGGATAATTTGGATTTGGGAGTTAGTGCTAAACCACAAATAACTACGGTTTAGTAGTCGATCTGTTCATTTTGGGGGGACCATTTAGGCATTTAGGAGGGTTGCTTGTGGTATTAACATGCACGCCGACATTGCCCAAGCTCTTCACATCGCCACCCCCACTGTAACCATGACATGTAAATCAGCCGACGTTTGCTCGGCCCTTACAACCCGAAGGCTGATGTTCTTCATGGTACAAGTCTTGGGGTGGTCTCAGATCAAGTCTCAAGTTGACTCCATCAATTGTCCACGTCTATATACTATCATATATATATGTATATTAAATATGTGTGTGTATGTTTGTCTGTATATTTATCTATCTATATATCTATCTATCCATCCATCAATCCATTCATCCATCGATCTATCCAATCTGATGTAAGTTTATCTTATCTTATATTATCTCATCTTATCTTATCTTATCTTATCTAATCTATCTATCTATCTAACTATCTATCTATCTATCTATCTATCTATTTATCAATCTATCCATCAATCAACCCATTCATCGATCTATATCTATTCTAATGTATGTTTATTTTATCTTATCTTACATTATATCTATCTATCGATCTATCAGTCTATCTATCTATCTATCTATCTTTCTTTCTTATCTTATCTATCTTATCATGTCTATTCATTTTATCATATCTATCTATCTTATCCTATCTATCCTATCTATCTATCTATCTATCTATCTATCTATCTACCTGTCTATCTATCTATCTACCTGTCTATCTATCTATCTACCTATCTATCTAGTCTAATCTAATCTAATCTTATCTTATCTCTCTTTCTATCTATCTATCTATCTATTTATCTATCTATCTATCTATCTAGCTAATCTATCTAGCTAATCTATCTAGCTAATCTATCTAGCTAATCTTGCAAGTTCCACCGCGGCCTGGTTCTAAAGCATCTTAAAACTAGGTTTTTTTTCGTTTTTTTTCATTTTTTTTTCATTTTTAAAGTTCATTTGGAAATCTGCTTTTTTTCCTGCCTTCATTTTGAATTCATTTTCATTTCTGCTTTTTTTGGCTTGTGATTGGAGTTTGTGATCCCCAGTGGAAAAAATGAAACATTTTTGGGCCTTGCTGGGCTTCCTTGGGGCTTTTGAGGCTGTCTCTGGCTGTGACAGGTTGGGGTTCTTGCTTGGCATGGCCAAAATGTTCAAATTGCTGGAGAAAGTGTTCCAAAGCCTAAGAAATTAAGTTTCTAAATATAAATTTTGACAATTGTTTCATTTGTGGCAAAGGGAAACCTGGCCAGGATTTGTTGAGGTTGATTGCTCAACTTAACTTAACTTAACTTAAACCAACCAAAAACCAAAATCCTAAACCCTAAACCCTAAACTCTTAGGGTTTAGGGCGGGTTTGGGATAGGGTATTTGAACTTGAAATTTTGAAACAAGGAGATAAACAAAAAACAAACTTTTGCTTCGAACATTTTTCCGGAATGAAAAAAAAATGAACTTTTGACGTGGGCAAAATTTCAGAATGAACTTTTTTTGGGGACCAGAAAAAAAATGAACTTTCAGAATGAAAAAAAATGAAAAAAAACGAAAAAGTTCATTTTTTTCATTTTTTTCGTTTTTTTTCATTTTTTTTCATTCTGCAAATCTGGTCTGACATGAAAGTTCATTCCAGAAATTGGCTCAACATGAAAGTTCATTTTTTTCCCCTTCTGAAATTTTGATCAGCAGGACGGTTCACTCTGTTCGATTCTCTTCTCTTTGATTTGTTTTGGCAATTTTGAAAAGTCAGAAATCGTTTTTTTTTAATATTCTTTTGTTTTTAGATTTTTAAATTCTAGATTTTAAAAGTTCATTTTTTTCCATTTTGAAAGTTCATTTTTTTTAATTGTGGTTCTTCTTCTTTTTTTTGGACATCATTTTGAAAACTGCTTGGTATGCCACCTGGTATTTCAAAAACTGGTACTTTGGAACTTTCTTATTTTCAAAACTGGTACTCTTGGCTGCTTTTGTTTTTCAAAAGGAACTATTTCACAAACCTGAGACTTTTGAGGAACAAAGGCAGCCAAGAGTACCAGCTTTGAGGGTAAGAAAGTTCCAAAGTACCAGTTTTTAAAATACCAGGTGGCATACCAAGCAGTTTTCAAAATGATGTCCAAAAAAAAGAAGAAAAAAACAGAAAAAAAATGAAAAAAATAAAAAAAAATATAAACAAACATAAAAAAAAAAACTGATTTTACTATTTCTTAGAACCAGGCCGACGAGGGAACTTGCAAAGCTAATCTATCTAATCTATCTATATAATCTAATCTATCCAATCTAATCTACCTAATCTACTCTATCTAGCTAATCTAATCTATCTAATCTAATCTAATCTAATCTAATCTATCTAATCTATTTATCTAATCTATCTAATCTAATCTGTCAATCTAATCTATCTAACCTAATCTACCTCATCAAATCTATCTAATCTAATCTGTCTATATAATATAATCTATCTAATCTAATCTAATCTAATCTATCTAATCTATTTATCTAATCTATCTAATCTATCTAATCTAATCTGTCAATCTAATCTATCTAACCTAATCTACCTCATCAAATCTATCTAATCTAATCTGTCTATATAATATAATCTATCTAATCCAATCTATCTAATCTAATCTATCTAATCTTCTCTATCTAATCTTATCTATCTTATCTATCTATCTATCTGCCACGTTGATGACCTGGACATACTTGCAGCTGGAAAAGCACTAGACATCACTACTGTGAAGCCTCGCAAAATCGCCGATGACATGCGGCTTTTCCCCCCCGACAGGGCCATGCCTGGGAGGGCATGAACCACCTGGCTGTTGCCACTGCTTTTGTTGCTGCTTTTGATCTCTTTATGTCGTAAACCAATCATAAATGTCCACTTCGGACTGGTTTATCTATGTCAGAAACGGTCTGACCGGGGCACTGGTAAAACTGGGATGCTTTAATATTATAGGTTTACCACGCTATGTTGGAGTCTTTGAGAGGTTTGAGAGTTTTGAGGGGGGACAAGTTTTGGACTCCCACTGGTGAACACGCATGTAGATGACACAACATTAGGGCACACTGGAAAATACGGTAAAACACAGCTCTGGGACATTGGATTGCGGGGCCAAATGCCGTGCCAGAGTTGTGCCTCTAAATGTCTGTACCCCCTGTATTTTTAACTACAGGCACTTGCAAACCAAAGGATTTTGGGCGCTGTTTGATTAGGATACGGTGAGAGTATGCACGGCTTCTGTCCTGGTTCCAACAAGGCATCGCAACTTCATTCATCAAACAGCCCCCCAAAAAGCAAGGAAAACTTCATCACATTTCAGCAGCCAGTTTATGTCAAGGTGCAAAAAGCACATCCAAACGTCAGCAAACCGATCAGCAGCACACGCACGGGTCGTCTGGGCCATGGGCATGTTGTCGGCTTCGCTGGCATGGGTGAAGATATTTCTTGTGGAATGCCTAGAGAAGTGCTAACATCCGAAAGAAATTGGGGGTGATCAATCTAATTCACTTGGCATGATATGACATGTAGATCTGAGCAAAACCCACAAAATCACCAAAGCCAGCCTAGAATACCTAGTCTACCCTCTGGTAATTTAACATAGCCAACATAGCTATTAAAATGTGCCTGATTTACCTATAAACAATGGTGATGTTCCATCGTTATGTCAACGTTTAACAACTAACAGTGACTATACTCTAGGTTGGGTTGAGTTGGGTATCCGGGTATCCAATCCAGGCACTGGTTGGGATCTAGCACCCTAGGACTCAAGTTTGGCGTCGTTGTTGTTGTTGTTGTTGTTCTTTTAAAGCGGCTTCCTGGTCATTGATGCGTGAAATCTATCATGTTTTTGCTCGAGCCTAGTGGAGCAGCCAATGCGCCTTCCAGTCCAAATATCTTCTGACACGTGCCCCCATAATTAACTACGCCTGAACATCACAAGCAAAACATAGTTAATTTTGGCAACCTGGCAAAACAGGTCATTTTGTAGCGGGGCGTGTTATCTTCCCACAATGGTTTCATTTTATGAAACACTCAAAAGCAAACCGAACCCGTGAAATTATCAGTCATCAAGGTCTATATCCACAAGTAATTATCTAGTAAAAAACATCATATATCAAGGTCGATATTATCCACAAGTGTCTAGAATCGGTTTTTTTTTACAATTATTCCAATACTTCAAATGTTTGTAGCTTACATTCAAATAATGATTCTTCCAATGCTTCAATAATTATTCCAATCGGGGAAAACATGTCTGTTTTTCAATGTTTTGACCCGAACTCGTCGCATCCCGCGTCGCTCCAAAAACCGCAAATGTGTTTTTTCCGCCCAGCGTTCGCTCAGCGTTCCAAGCATCTGAGCTCGGGACCTGGCGAGCCTGGCCACGGTGTTTTTGGCCAAGCATCTGGTTCTGGAATGGTTTTAGTCATGGTTGTTTTAGTGTTGGTTCTAATTATGTTATGGAATTGTTATGGAATGGTTTTAGTGTTTTAGAGTATTTTAGTGTTTTAGTAAACTAACCTAGTTGATACCCTGGAATATTTTTTTAAGGCATGGGGCATGTTTTAGTTTATATCAACCTGAAGCAACCAAGCTAGCCCGCAACCACAAAAGCCCAAAACGAACATGGGCAAATACACCAACATCTATCGATTGGGGATCGCCAGGATCCCTGCCATCCCTGCGAGGGGGATGGGTATCTACATCATCTCCTGGCTCCATGTGCCCAGGGTAGTGATTGGAGGGTGATATCTATTCTTTTTTCGGGAGGAACATCCCTCAGTGCCATGAGGCTGTTTACTCCAGCTATCTAAGAAGTCTGGTCATTTTGATACAATGTGTTTTTTTTATCATATAGAACCCCTTCCACCAAAATGAAATACCTACCAAAAACGGCTAAGTAGATTGGATCGTTTTTTGTTTTGTGTCGTTTTTGGGGCAGTTTCTAATTACGGGCAGATTTATTCACAGCCCTGCCACATCCTGGGGATGGACGTCAAACTTCATCACTTCAATGTGGGCCACGGTTTACGATAGCATTCAGCTGGTGCGTTTATAACTCCAATAACTATGGTTTATGATACGCAAATAACTATAGGATATTATAGGATTCATGGGGTTTGTAACCATCAAACATAACTGGGGGGGCCCGCATTGATAAATTAAAACCAACAGTTATCCAGCCTTAAGAGTTCGGCATACCAGCTCCTTACCTATGGGAAAAGACCGGTCATGATCTACCCAAAAAAAAACCTGTTGAACGGCAAACACACAGAAATAAACTGTTGATTCAATGTTGTGGGCATTCTTCACTACGGAAAAACATGCTGTCAGTTGTCTGGTTCTATGGGCTTCATATACTCTTGCGGCATCGCTATGGCCGATGCCAACAGGGTCATGGTTAATCTACCCTCAGGTAATGACTAACAGCTTGCGAACTTGAAAATGGCCCAGTCGAAATAGTGGATTTACCCATTGAAAATGGTGATTTTCCGTAGTTATGTTAGTTTACCAGAGGGTATCTTTTTTTAGTCTCTAACCATTAGTTGGGGGCCAATAATTTTGAGACCCAGGTTTCTGGATGAATTATTTCATAATCTCCAATTTGCAAAAAAAAACCTGCGCCGTTGTAACCATCATTCCAGTGACGTTGCCCTTTACGGTCGCTATAATTTATCCAGAACAGTGCTTAATATGTTGCAATTACCCTCTGGTAAATTAACTTGTTGACGTTGAAAATCAGCATTTTATCCATTTTATAGCTGGGTAAATCATGGTAAATCCACTATTTCGACTGGGCCATTTTCAAGTTCGCAAACTGTAAACGTTTACCAGAGGGTAACTGGATACGTTGGGATGTCCTGAAATTCTGAAGCTTGTTTTACCAGAAGTTTTCAGCATGGTAACCCACCAAGAACAACGGGATTTTTACCATGGCTTTGTCCAAAAAATGTGGCACCAGGTACCCCAAAATACAGGATTTATCACGTCTTATCATGTTTTTCCATCAACATAATGATGAAAATACTAAATATCCTGGTAAATTACCATGGAAAACGACCATACGCAGTTTCATGGGGCAACCATTGGTTTTCCACATCTTTCAGGTTGCTATTTTCGGGTGTAACTCCATTTCAAGACACACAGCTTTCACCGTCACCAAGCAGTGTTCAAAACTGTGATTTAATAGAGGCTCCCAGCTCATGAGTGGTGACTATCCCCAATATATTGAACACGACAAGGTGGTGCCCCCCCAGTTATTAATGGCTTATAATCCCATGAAAACTAGTTCGGTATATCACCAACAAAAACCAGAGTGAAATTGGACTTATTTCCACCAACTTACCGATTCCGAACTGGGGCACCACCCTGTACACTTCATTGGGGCTGGAAGCAACCTCCCGAAAAGATGACCCTTGGGCTCACCTGCCGCACCTGCATAGGTCACGATGCGCACGTCCAAATCCGCGTCTTGCAGCCGCTGAAACGCACGGTCCATGGCCTGCACGATCCACTCCTTGGCTGCAAATCCTGGCTACATGTGTAACCACTAGGAACATAATATGTACAGCAGCATTACTGTAAAATAACGAGGTTGTCTTTGCACATTTTCACAAATAGAGAGATATATATATATATATGTACATACATATGAATACATTCACAACTCACATACGTTGTCTCTTGGAATGTATATATGATAGCGGAGCAGAACCGGGCATATGCTCTCGAATTCCAGAATGCCAAAAAGCCGGCTAGCTAGCTCTGGCGCAGCAAAAACAAAATATATATCCCTAAGAGTAACTGACTGCATACATGTATAATTATATATATATGCGTAAGTATATGTATGTATGTATATATATATATTATGCAAGTATGTATATATATATATTATGTAAGTATGTATATGTATGTGTATGTACGTTGTATGTACATATGTATGTATATGTATGTCTGTGTACGTATATATATATATATATATATATGTGTGTATGTACTGAATGTATATATATATATGTATATTATATACATGTGTGCCTTACAATGCCGTGCCTACTCAGCACTTGTAATTCCTAGGTTCCACACCCGAGTAGGCTGTGACAGGCTTGAACATTTCCCAGTGTCGGACACTCAAGGTCGATAAACCCCTTTCCGGGCAGTTTGGGCTTCGAGGCTGTAACATACCCTGGCACCCTGGGGTAAACTAACATAGATGTGGAAAATTGCCCACTTGTGGATGAATTAGCCATGAAAAACGGTGATTGTCCATATCTATGTCAGCCCGCCCCAGGGTATCTATCTTCGTCAATTGGAACTGCCCTCCAATCAATAACAAGCTGTTTTTGATCCAAAAAATGCAGGCAAGGATCCATGGAATTGCCAAAAACACCACCTCCCAAGCAAGTCAGGAAGACTTTCTTTGAGCCCTCCTGTCCAGCATGTTTTTTCGCTTGCTTCAAGGCTGCCAAAAGGGTTGCCTCCCGCCAGCATCTCGCAGGACATGTCATACAAAGTAAAGTGTCATTCCATATCAGATCATATCATCATGCGTTGTTTAGACGCATGGATGTATATGTTACTGTAAAATATATTGGCACACCATATGTATATCTATCTATCTATCTATCTATCCATCCATCCATCCATCCATCCATCTATCTGCATAAAATAAAATCAATTGTATAATATGTATAGTATATCATTTCAGTATCTTCCATTTCTATCTGCAACTTGCATCCAATATTACCCTTTTTTGAAGGCACCAGCCCATGGCAAGTGCCCCACGGCTTCGCCTCATATGATGCCTCTAAGATCAGCGTTGCCAAGGGCTGCCAATCTTCGCTGGAACTGTCCTGGTTCATGTGGAGCGGGTGAAAATCATGGGGTAGAACCATGCTAATAACCACCATGAGTTGGGATATAACATGATATAACCCCTGCAAGTATGGTTATATGATGTTATATACAATATATTATATATATGGAGCATCATACGTGGGGAATGAGACCAGCAACTATTACCACCAACAAACCAAAACAAAATACCGAGCAAGCATCCAAGCAAGCCGCATCAACGCCTGACAGTCTATGCTGCCTAGTCAACTCAAACAGAAACCCACTCAGAATCAGTCCGTGCTGATGGACAGGACTTTCTTAGTCAGTAGGGTGAACCATGAAGTAGCTGGATCTGCTCTTTGGAGGATTGCCTGCAGATTTTAATTTTGCCAAATATGACACCAACTGACCATATATATATATATATATGTGTGTATATATATAATGTGTATATATATATATATGTACACATACATATTTGTATGTAAATCGCTCTCTATCTCTCTATAAATTCTATGTTCTCTTATGACGAACAATATAAACAAGCCGAACCTGCTTGACACCGAATATCTCTGTCCACCAGCCGCCGACCGATGGCTGCCAAGAGGCCCGATTGTAAGCCACTGAACAGGCAGAACCAAACACTTGCGTCACTAGCCTCAGTCAAAGATGTCGGCAGCAGAGGTGGCTTCAAATGTAAAGTGAGAGGTGCACCATCTGTCCATGTCATCAAGAAAAAGACTTTGGAATCGCTGACATGCTACAGGTCCGGCACATTCCAAGTGCCAACAGGTATCAAACCCACTGGACGGCCTTCCCTGATCTTTATACCCAGTATTCGGTGGCAAATGGTATCAAATATTATCAAATTGTTGTCAGAGCTGTGTCTTAGCCTCCGTAAACATGGCCATGGCAACGGGAAATTCCCCAAAATGGAGATTTTAATGAGAAATCATCGAACTAAATGGGTTCTGTTCCATATAGATCTTGTTATGGATGATCCATTTCAACTATACCGAATCCATTTTAAATTTCACAGCAGGGATCGATAAATCATCTATACTTGGATTTCGTTGGAGATCTACAGAATTACCGGGTTAAATCTCGAGTTCCAAGCTGTGAAATATGAAAAACCCTGGTGAAAACGAAGTCGCTCGCGGGGTGTGTCCCGTTTTTGATTGGAGAACTAACACACACACAAAAAAAAACTACTGGTTACACCAGTTGGTCTTCAAATTGAAGTAGCCTCCAAGTCATCAAACGTGGCTGGAAAATCCCCAACATGGCAGGTCCGCTGGGAAAATCATCGAACAAAATGTGGGATTTTCCAGCCATGTTTGAATACCGGAGAGCACACCCGCCTCGGTCATCTTACATCATCTGGGCTTACATCAAATGCGTTATATATATCCCATTGTTTCCTGTTCTATGCCTACTATAACATCATAAAATGGCAACTATGAATCTTCAACCAACCACCATCAGTAATATTAAAAGAGGCCAGTGATGGAAAATTGAGACCATCATAATCATAAAAAGAAAAATATACCAACCATCAATATACATCAATATACCATTATAATTATGTTGAGTAATAGAAAAATATACCAACCATCATCAGCAATGTTTAATCAACATTTTTCTATTATTAAAAACAGCCTTTTTCACATTACCAACCAACATGTTTCATCAGTAATATCCCTTATGTTTAATGTTAAAAGTAGTTGAGACCATTAAGACCACTGCAATTCATGGCTAAATCCCATTCTGAATGGTGTGAGTTTTCACCAACAAACTTCCGCTACCCGGTCGTTGGTCATGTTGTTGGCTACATATTTCTTTATATCTTACAATAACCCTGATTATCACTATTGTTAGTAATATCATCAGATGTTTCCTTATGTTTATTATTCATGTTTTATTACTATCGTTTTTGCAACAGTTGAAAAACAGTCGACCATACCACTTGTTCCTACTATGATTGAGGTTACTATTGCCATTGTTCGTACATGACTAGCTTCATGATGATGATGATCGGTACTGTTACAGTAAATCAAATGTACATACATATAATCATTGTCACAATAGGCGAAGATATACAGTAGGTTCAAATACACTACTACGACAATGAAGAACATCGTTTTCATCACAAACACCATATAGCAAAGTACAACAACACCTAAAAGAAGTAATACACATGTGTATATATATACACCTTTAAAAAAAATGTGTGTATATATATATATATACAGCTATAAATATGTGTGTATATATAAATATATATGGTAGGTACCAAATTTATAGAACGGAAGTTGAGGAGTACGAAGGTACCGTTATTTACCGTACCCTGTTGTTCCACAATTCTGTTTTCCTCGGAAGGTATGAATAAAACTTATCTTAACTTACTCCTTTTTTTCCATCGTTCTATAATTCTGGTTTGTTCTATAATTGTGTGTTCCCATGTTTCCCACATTTACCAGTTTCGTTGTATAATTCGTTTTTCCGTTCTATAATTAATTTTGCGTAAACCGTTCTCGTACTGTATACAAATATGCAATAGATATCATGCCAGTGCCAGAAATTATAGAACAGAAAAAGTAATTATAGAACAGAAAAACAAATTATTGAACAGGATCCGAATCCGCGCGGAATCGGGATCCGGAGGAGTACGAAGGTACGGTATTTTACCGTAGTTTTGTACTCCGAATTTCGTTCTAGAATTCTGGCACCTCCTGTATATGTACAAATCAACAAAAACATGTAAACCATAAAAACATGTGTATAGATCATTCTAACACCAAATTTTGTTCACCATCAAGTTGCATAAAGAAGTGGAGTGGTGTATAATCAGTGAACTCTGTAGTATTGACCACTAAGTGGGATGATCCTCCAAGTATGGGATTTCATGGGAATATGCTGGGAATATCATGAGAATATGGGAAACTGTATAACCAGAGGGTACATATACACCAAATTTTGTCCATCAAGTTGAGCTGATCCCATCAAATCGCCATCAAATCCCATCAAATCCCCTCAAACCACCATTAAATCACCACTAAATCACCATTTTTCATCACACGGTGAGACCCTCCCCCAAAAAAAATCACCGAGTCTCTGCTCCTCCGTCGCCAAGCGCTTGGCTCCCCATGCGGTGGCCGTCACTTGCACCTCCTCATGCAGGCCGATGCGCAGCGTGTCGCGGAGCGCCTCCAGGTCTTCGTTGGAAAGGCGCGACCTTGGGGAGCCCGGAGGCGGATGGCTAAAAAATAGTTTATTTCAATGGCTAAAATCACCATAGATAAAATAGGTAAATATTCTATTGGTTTAAGGGAAAATTTACAGGATTGGTTTAAGGGAAAAATTACAGGATTGGTTTAAGGGAAAATTTACAGGATTGGTTTCTATAGGTAACATTACTGGATTGGTTTAAGGGAAAATTGGAACCGGAAAACCCCATATTTAATGGGACAATTGGTTTCTGGTGAAGATTGTCAGAACAAAACCAATCCATTGAATAACGAGATGCCATGGACAAAAACGTTTTAATGAGCAAGCATGCAATATATCCTGAAAAACACTATATCAATATACAATGTGGTGCTCATTTACCACATAGTTTTCAACAGTTATAAACCATGTGATAAATAGAATACATTAGAATGTTCAAAATCATAATCAGAACCATGTATAGGAAATAATTATCTAGTATCACTTCGACCATCACCACTATTAAAACCAAACTAATTACAGTCTATATTTAATAACAATAGACACTTTGACTGACTAAAAGCAAATGTATATTAATTTTGCCTTGGTTTCATTTTGGCAAAAAAAGTGAATAACTCATGTTTACTGTCAAAGTAATATAAACATATAATAAGCATCAAAACAATATGGAAACATATGGGCACCAGTAATGATAGACATATAGAACAATTACATATTTTTGATAATGACAACTAGAGTTTATAGAAACCATACTATAACTTTGTGAAGTCTTGCTATCTATACTATATTTGTGATGTAGTTTGATCATTTGTTGACAATTTATTTTGTTCTTCTCAAAATGAGCCAATTTCAGCGTCAGTTGGGGGGATGGCATATGGCACCTCCCAAAAAAAGAAAAGTAGGTAGCCCTATATAGTGCAATAGTGATACTCGGAGCCTTCTCTGCTGGCTTTTGTTGATGAAAAATCAGTTGGAATCGCATTTTGATTAGTTTGGGTACTTACAAAATTACACACACAGATATATATATATATATATATGTGATCCCGGTCCCCGGTCCCGTAGCCCCCCCCCCCAAATGGTATGGTCCCCTACTTCCTAACCTAGAATCTTTCATTTCCATGGTATTTACAGCATTTTGGATGCAAAACCTCATATTTCCATGGTATGTACAGCATTTTGGATGCAACACCTACTTATATAGGAACTAAAGAGTATGGTTATATTACCTCTTTATACACATACACAAATTTATTTACATATATACACATATACACGTATACATATATACATATATACATGTATACATATATATATATATACATATACATATATACATATGTACTTATATACTATATATAAATGTATGTATACATGTATACATATATACAAATATAAAAAAAAATACATATATACATATACACATCTATACATATATACATATTTAAATATATACATATATATATACAGATATACAGATATACAGATACACATATACACTTATATACAGATATACATATATACATATATACTTATATACTATACAAATATGTATACATGTATACATGTATACATATATACATATATACATATACACATCTATACATATATACATATACACATATATACATATATTCTGAATATATATATATATAAAAATACATAAATACTGCATATATATATATTTACATTTACATGTATACAAAAATACATGAATACATGTATAGATATATATCTATATACAAATATAGATATATACCTATATACATATATACATATATATATATATACATATACTATATATATATATACATATACATGTATACATAAATCCATATATACATCTATACATATATACAGATATACATATATACATATATACATATATACATATATACATATATACATCTATACATCTATACATATATACATATATACATATATACATAAATACTGAATATATATATATATATATATGCATATACTGAATATATATACATATATACATATATATATACATATATACATATATATATATATACATATACTATATATATATATACATATACATGTATACATAAATCCATATATACATCTATACATATATACAGATATACATATATACATATATACATATATACATATATACATATATACATCTATACATCTATACATATATACATATATACATATATACATAAATACTGAATATATATATATATATATATGCATATACTGAATATATATACATATATACATATATACAGGACCCACCCAACTCCCACATCCACAGGGAGGAGGGGGGAACCATGACCATGGGGGGAGGGGGGGTCCCCGAACCTGGAGCATATATATATATAATATATATATATATAGATATGTATATATATATATAATAAACAAAACAATGAAATAGCTACATAACAAATGTTAGCTTAAACAACTGTGGCGCAATAATGTATATAGCTAGTTGTATTGGCCACAACTACTACCTACCTGCTACCGTGGATGTGCCATGTAACTGTATGTAGAAAACACAATGATTCCAATTTTGCGTGATTTCCCTTGCTATACAAGCATCACGATGACTCAGATCCCACAACGGGATTCAACTCATAATTGCTGGTAGTAGTGGTAAGCTGTCGCCCTAAAACAGTTGAAACCATGGAACATAGACCACATTCTGGGAACTAGTCACCATACTGGGTTACCAACAGTTTATGTCCTTGTCCGCTTTTCGGTTCGTGCTTACGGCCTGCCAAAAAAATATAAACAAATATAAGCCCTTCAGAATATTTATTCCCAGAAAGGGCAGCAAAAAAAAAACACCACACAGCCATAATGTATGTAGAATTCTCCACTATATCCCGTGATTGCTGATGAAAACCAGTTCTTCCAAGAATGGAAAAACAAAACAATCACAAAGAGAATTGAAACCACCATGAAACCACCATGACTCATTACTAGTTCCTGCTCATTGAAGTCCAGTCTCAAAGATCTGTTGAGTTTCTGCAACTCTCGGTGTGACGCTTGCGTGTAGCCACTGGTCACTCGGAAGGAGGGCGCGGCGCCTAGGCGCCCTTCGGGGCGCCCTTCGGGGCCCGAAGGCTCGGGCTGGCAGAGTCGCTGGAGCTCGGCAGAGAAATCCTCCAGGTTGTTGATTTGCCTCGCTGGGGCCGTGACCGGCCATGAGACACAGCAACTTTCTTTCAGTACCTGGATGACAGATAAATGACCTATTGGAACGATGACAAATTACATGCAACTCAGTACTATTGTGGATAAATGGGTGTAGAATAGTTTTTGGTATGTTCTTTGCCTCAGGTGTTGTTTTTTTTTGTTCTCTTTCCTGGTACCATTTGCCTTGTATTTGCAACAGTTTGGAACTAGAACCTGTCATTTTGAATGGTATTTGCTACATTTGGGCATGGTCACTTTGCATTTTGAATGGTATTTGCTACATTTGGCCATGTTCGCCTTCCATTTTGCATGGTATTTGTCACATTTTGGCATTTCAACCTCTCATTTGCATTGTATTTGCTACATTTTGGTACTTCAAACGTTCATGTTTTCATTTAGGGTGTCATTTAAGGTTTCATTTAGGGTTTCATTTAGGGCTTCATGTGGGGTTTTATTTAGGGTTTCATTTAGAGTTTCTTTAGGGTTTCATTTAGGGTTTCTTTACGGTTTCAATTTAGGGTTTCAATTTAAGGTTTCATTCGGGAATTCATATAAGTTTTCTTTAGGGTTTCATTCCAGGGTTTCTTATCAGGATTTTTTCACGATTTCTAAACGTTCAAGTGGGTTCCTTTAGGGCTCCTTTAGGGTTTCATTTAGGGTTTCAATTAAGGGTTTCATTTAGGGTATCTTTAGGGTGTCAATTTATATAGGGTTTCAGCTAAGGTGTCAGTTAAGGTCTCATTTGTTTTTTTTCCAGAGTGTTGTTTAGGGTTTCTTTGGGATGCCATTTAGGGTATCATTAAAGCTTCTTTGGGGTTTCATTTAAGGTTTCTGGAGGATTAATTCCCCACCTGCCAGGTGAGATTTTATCAGAGCGCTCTTCCTCCGCGTCCTCGTCCTCCTCCTCGACTAGCTGTCCTCTTCCCCCTCGTCCTCCTCCTCGCCTCCTCCTCTAGTTTCTCCTCGACCATGTCTGCATCAACTTCCACCTGCACTTCCGCCTTGCCAACTCTTCGCCCAGCTCTTTGCCAACTCTCTTCGCCGACTCTCTGCGCCAAGCTCTTTGCCAAGTTCCCAGCTCAGTGTGCACCGCTGGACCTCAACCTGGGACCGTTCCAGCTCAGTGTGCACCGCTGGACCTCAACCTGGGATCTGCCCAGCTCAGTGTGCACCGCTGGACCTCAACCGGGGACCTGCCCAGCCCAGTGTGCACTGCTGGACCTCAACGGCCAGATAGAATGCCAGAAGATATGCCAGATAGAATGCCACATAGAATGCCAGAAGATATGCCAGATAGAATGTCAGATAGAATGCCAGAAGATATGCCAGATAGAATGCCAGAAGGTATGCCAGATAGAATGCCAGATAACATGCCAGATAGAATGCCAGAAGATATGCCAGATAAAGTGCCAGAATGTTTGCCAGATAGAATGCCAGAAGATTTGCCAGATAATATGCCAGAAGATATGCCAGATAGAATGCCGGAAGATATGCCAGAAGATATGCCAGATAGAATGCCGGAAGATATGCCAGAAGATATGCCAGGTAGAATGCCAGAAGATATGCCAGATAGAATGCCAGAAGGTATGCCAGATAGAATGCCAGAAGGTATGCCAGATAGAATGCCAGAAGATTTGCCAGATAATATGCCAGAAGATATGCCAGATAGAATGCCGGAAGATATGCCAGAAGATATGCCAGGTAGAATGCCAGAAGATATGCCAGATAGAATGCCAGAAGGTATGCCAGATAGAATGCCAGAAGGTATGCCAAATAGAATGCCGGAAGATTTGCCAGTAACAAAATGTATAAATGTCATGGTGGGGATCACACGAAGTAAAGTAATTTATGTTTTTTTAAGGTTCATTTATGGTTTCTTTAGGGTCATTTAGGGCTTCATGTAGGGTTTCTTATCAGTACTTATCAGGATTTCTTTAAGGTTTCTTTTGGTTTCACCCAGGGTCTCTCTAGGGTTTCATTTAGGATACAAACAGAACAGAATAAAGCAACAGAAAATGAAAAACAAAGAGACAGTAAAGACAGGAAGCAAAGAAGCAAAGGAGCAGGAAGTAGAGCAGCAAAAACACATGACTGAAGAAAAGAAAAGTATATAGAAGTGGAGAAGTAGAAAGGCACAGAAGTACAAAAGCAGAGAAGCAGGGAAAACAGAGAAGCAGAAAAGCAAAGAAGCAGGAAAAGCAGGAAAAGCAGAGAAGCAGGGAAAACAAAAAGCAGAAAAGCAGGATAAGCAAAGAAGCAGGAAAAGCAAAAAGCAGAAAAGCAGGAAAGCAGGAAAAGCAGAGAAGCAGGGAAAGCAAAACGCAGAAAAGCAGGATAAGCAGAGAAGCAGGGAAAACAAAAAGCAGAAAAGCAAAGAAACAGGAAAAGCAAAAAGCAGGAAAAGCAGAGAAGCAGGGAAAGCAAAAAGCAGAAAAGCAGAGAAGCAGGAAAAGCAGAGAAGCAATGTAAGCAGAGAAGCAGGAACCCCAAAAAAATCCAAAACCTGCCGCGAAAAAACATCCAAAAATAAATAGCCCTCTTGGATAAATTATCGAAGGAAGTTTTGAAGTGAAACTTCCGACAATATGGACAGAAGAAAAGCAGAGCAGGGCAGAGGCAGAGAAAAGAGAAAGATCAGAAGAGAGAAGAGTAGAAGAGAAAGAGTAAGAAAGAAGACGGAGATGCGCGAAAAGGTAGGAAAGTCGCGAAACACTATGTTTTTCCAATGACTTTTGGCTCCGCAGGGTCGAAAAGTAGGCTCGCTAAAGCGGCGGGTGCGGAGCCAGCTGGCCAGAGGAGAGATGAAAAATTGCACGCCGTTGTGGCGCGAAGCACATTTCCAAGTCAAAATGTACAAAACACACCACGTTCGGACCACTTTTGGAAGTTGAGATGTTGAAAAAGTGCACACCGTTGTGGCGCGAAGCACATTTCCAAGTCAAAATGCACAAAACACACCAGGTGCGGACCACTTTTGGCACTTAAGATGTCGAAAAAGTGCACGCCGTTGTGGCGCGAAGCACATTTCCAAGTCCAAATTGCACAAAGCACACAGGTGCGGACCACTTTTGGCACTTGAGATGTCGAAAAAGTGCACGCCGGTGTGGTGCGAAGCACATTTCCAAGTCAAAATGTACAAAACGCACCACGTTCGGACCACTTTTTGAATGAA